GGAGTGTGCACTTCCGGCCAATTGATGGAGGCTCAAAGGTTGCTTAATCATATGGTGCGAAGCGGAGTAACGCCGGATGTTCGAACATTCACTATTTTGGTGGATGCACATTGTAAGGAGGGATTGCTTACTGAGGCAGAGTCCATGGTCAATCATATGATTCAATTAGGTAAAATGCCAAATAATTTCGCTTATAATACATTGATGGATGGTTATTGTATGCAAAATAGGATGAGTGATGCTAGGAGAGTACTTAGTTTGATGGTTGAAATGGGCTGCTCTCCCGATATTGCTAATTATAACACATTGATTAATGGATTCTGCAAAGCAAAAAGAGTTGATGAGTCAATAACACTTTTCCAAGAAATGCTTCAAAGGGGCTTGATTCGTAATGTCATCACATATAACACTCTCATTAAAGGATATTGTCAAGTTGGGAACCTTCAAGCCGCAGAAGAGCTACTTAACGAGATGCAATCTCGTGATCTATGTTTAGATTATTATACCTTCAATGCTTTCTTGGATGGCTTGTGTAAAACACAACAGATTGACAAGGCCGTGACATTGCTTCGACGTATGGAAGATTTGAAATTAGTCCCAGACGTTGTGACTTGTAATATTCTAATAAATGGCCTGTGCAATGCTGGAAAGCTCAAAGAGGCAATGGAACTGTTTAATTCTTTGCATGCTCGAGGCTTGCAACCTAACAAGTGGACATGTTCGATTATTATGAGTGGATTGTGCAAAGAAAACGCACTGAGGAAGCATATCAGCTGCTAAAGGAGATGGAGGGAAGTGGATGCTCTCCAAATGGTGTCACTTACAATACAATGATCCAAGGACTTTTAAAGAATAATGAAAATGCGAGGGCTACACAACCTATCAGTGAAATGGTTGGAATGGGGTTTTCTGCAGATTTATCGACAATGGACTTATGGGTTCGGTATCTCACCATGAATAGAATTTCTTCCTTTTCTGATTAGACTCTCCATTCATCTCCAAAATCTAGCCGCTTTTTCATCTCAAATGTGATGAAATGATGGTATGAGCCTGGTTAACGACACATTTTCTTCCACACATCTCATTGAGTCTCATGTCCATCAATCAGGTTGTTTTATGTCTGCAATACTAGGAGTCTTTCTTCATCATGTGGCTTTTTGAGGCGTGGAAGGAAAGTGAAATTTTTTCCTTGTTACACCTTGGTTCTGCAAAAAGTCCCTGTATTTAAGTGGTAGGTCTACTCGTAGATTAGTGCATCAGGTGCCTAATATTTATCAAACAATTGATATTGTACACAAATGATAAAGCAAAGTCGGGAGTTGCTTGAATTAAGCAGATGTTAATAGCACTAACTCTAGGATTGTACTGAAGTTATGCAATTCACAAATTCATTTTGCATCCAATGCCATGTAAATTGTGAAAGAATCAGCGTGGAAATGGTTATCCTAAGGAATGATCCAACTTCATTTTGCCCTTTGAACTGAAATTGAGCGTGCTTTTGTTTATTATAAATGTAGACTAGGAAAAGTTTGTATGAAAATTTGCTTGAATTTCTCTAACATTTCATGGAAGCTTCTATTTTAATAATATCCTCCTGCAGTTATTACTCTCTCTCTCTCTCTCTCTCTCTCTCTCTCTCTCTCTCTCTCTCTCTCTCAATCCTTTGAAAACTCTCGTGCGAGTGGAGATGATGTAGGACAAGGACTCTTACTGCTGGTGCTAGGGTTCTCTCTTGGAATTACTTGTTGAATGGGAATTTGTGGAGAAGAAGCAGAAGAGAAATGAGGAAATCATTCAAGGACTCGCTCACGTTGCTCGAACCTGACGTTCAGTTTGCCCATGCTCTGTAAATTGCCTTCTTCTTCAGTTCCTGGTTTGGTTCAACTGATAAGTACAAAGTTAAATTGGTTGCAAAAGATTATGCTTGAAAACAAAATGCTAAACATGTTGATAGTTCTGCTCTTGTAACCAGAATTTCTTCTCTTCCAATCTTTGTTTGCACTAGCTTCTATCCACAAACTTTTTATACATCAAGTGGATGTTAAAACCGGTTTTCTAAATGGTGATTTAGATGAAGAGATTCATATGGTATAGCACTTAAAGGCTAAGCCTATTTTTTGGTGAGTGGGGTTTTTGGATTTTTGTTGTGTCCTGTTTTTTCTAGTTACTTCAAAGAAGATGCTTATGCAGAAGTGGATTGTATCATGGTAATGGGCATTTCAAATTGATGGCTAAGACTATTTTTTATGAGTGGGGTATTTGGATTGTTGCTGCTGGTTAATTATATGTCTGATTATTCTTATATGCGAATTATTCTGGCCTAACTTGTCCTATATAGTCTGCTTCTATTCAAAGAGAACCATAAGTTTGATAGTTGTCTTGCTAACCAAGGTACGTGTCGGCAAGAGTATGAAAATTTGTCTGAGGACTTTCTCTTGCTGCCACTGCTATAGTCAATGCTTGATTTCCTAGAAAGCATGAGTCAGTTTGTAATGGTTTCTCTCATTTCATCCAGTCACAGAAGAGTTGACAGAGGTTATAGTCTGTTTAGTTGGCGAAAGGCATGAGTTCTAGTTAGAAATATTACAAAGGTCTTTTAAAGCAGCATAAATGTTACAGAAAGAAACCCTGAAGTGGTTATTTCAAACATTTCCGGCATTGCTATTGCAATAACTTTTGGTATAGAACAGTGTTTTAAGGTGATTGATATGACAAGATAGATTACCAGATCTTGGTTAACGCCTTGTCAAAATGAGCATAGAGACTTAAGGTGATAGAAAAGGAGGGACACCATCTTGCTTCGCTTTGAGCTGGTAAGATACCCAGACGGGAGGTAATAACCCTCCCCGATGCACTTTGAAGATAAGCTTGATGGAGGCTCTAAAGTTAGTCTCAGATTTTTGTTACTCCAGTTATGATTAATTTGGAATTTGCATATGTACTTGATGAAGGCAATTATTCACAAGTGGAATTCTAAGGATTATGTTTTTTTATACTTTAGAGCTAGGTAATTCGGACACTATCGACAATTTTGCTCCGAATTTTGTGCTTATTGGTGACAGAATCAAAAGAGATGAGCAAGAAAAATGGTGGGATGAAGCTCATAAAAGTGATCTGATCTTCTGCAGAAGATGTTTAGAATGTAGAGATTATGTTTCTTGAACTCCAGTGCCATTTTCTGGTTTGTAGTATCATTCTGCAGTGTGGCTTAACAGATAGGATAGATCTGCAGGACTTGGAGCTAGGAGCTAGGTTGGGCTGGGCTAATTTGCTTAAGTTATGACTTGTGACAGATTTCAATATCATTAGAAATGATCTTGGTTGGCATTGTTTCTGTTGGGAAGTTTGGAGCTGCTAGCCATGCAATCTTGTGGACACAGCTGAGCATGATAATTTGTGCAATAGGTGGTGGGTTTATAGTTTCATGCATTGTTAAGACGGTCCTATTTTACCTTTGGTTTGTATAAACTTCTCTGCAACAGGTCTTAAATCCTGTTTTAATAACTTTCACTGGAACAAGTCTTGCAGCTGAGAAAAAGTATGCATGGTTTATCATATTTCTTTGAAACAGGTCTTGTATCAGGTCATGTTGTAATCTGGAAAATGATTGCTGATATTCAAAACAGGAATGAAATTTCATGAATTAAAGCATGGATTTTTCGTGCATTACGAAAAGATTTTCTCAGCAACTCATTTTCCTAAACGTGTGAACGTCAAAGAACGAAGAAAATATTATTCGCATAGTTAATTTTACATGAAACAAACGGAATCTAGGATTTGTATTTTTAGCATGTATGGCATATGGCCTGTTTACGAGCAGACCTTTGAGGGTTGAGAACAGACATGGATTCGGTCTTTCGGGGAAAAAAAAAAAAACTCGAACATGTGATGCAAAGGTTATTAGCAAGATAATGTTCAACACAAATGGCTCTCACAGTCATATCTGATTTAGAACTTCCCTTTGATAATTTTCATCTCCAAGTTAACTCAAATTTAGGGTTTCCACTTGCACACTTTCTGAGCAAACGTTTTGGCTAAGGTTACTACTCGTCCAAGCATTTATAAAAAGGGAGTGAAAATGGACCCTATTTACTTAAATCCAAGCATATCATCTGCACAGTCAACTTGGCTCTATCTACCATTAATGACTAGATGGGCAAGTGGTCCATGTGAGGCTTGACGTTCCGTGGCTACATCCAGTGTCATCGCTCACTTTGGCACTTGGCAGTCCAGTTCAATAGCGAGAGAGACTCGAGAGATGCCTCTTTAGTCTTGAATTAGCCCTAGATCGAGGCCGTCGACAATCTACTTATCGCTCGGCGAATGCTAATAGATGCACCTGATCCTTTTGGTGACGATATAATTGTCGGCACGCGATGTTAGATCTTTACACGGTACAGAAATACGTTTGTCTACACATGTGAGAATTGTTTAACCCTAGAGTTTTTTTGTCTTTAATGGTTCGATGCATTCTTCTTTGTCACTTTCTGCCTCGCAAAACGGGCCTTATCTTGAAGCTTTTACTTTGATTTGCAGTGGTGGGGGGTAAGTTTACTTCCTGAATCTGATGGTCTCGATCAGACAGCATTTAAGGCTCGCAATACCTTGTGGGTCTACACAAACGCATGGGGACCTGCATTAAAATACTAAATTAACTGTTTTATATATATATATGTAATATATAGTATTCTACATATATTCTTGCTAAGATATACTGTATAGATTTGTCATCGAAATAATATGACAAGCTCTTATTAGTCACTTCTGTAATAATAACACCAAACTCCTTCAAAAACCCTAGGTGAAGCAAGATATATGTATACGGTGCGTGTGAAAGCATTGTCTTTATTATTTACACCTTACCAGAAAATGGCAACAGCATTCAATTCGGGCCCAACCACCGACCTCCCCCCACGCCTACCCCCCATGCGGTGCAACCCTTGTGTCTTCTTTTCGCACCCTTCACACGTCCTCCTATAAGAACCAACCCTCCAGCACAAGCCTCATGCACTCATCTCGCCCGCTCTCAACACTTCTCAAGCACATTGCACTACATCACCACTTCACTCAATCCCCCACCCCCAACATGGCGAGCCTCAAGTTGGTGTGCTTGGCCCTGGCGGTCGGCCTCGTGGTGGCCGCACCGCTCGCCGAGTCGGCCATCAGCTGTGGCCAGGTGACAAACAGCGTGGCCCCGTGCCTCGGGTACCTGAGGAAAGGCGGGGCAATCCCCCCGGCTTGCTGCAACGGCATCAGGTCGCTCAACAGCGCCGCCAGGACCACCCCCGACCGCCAGGCCGCCTGCCGGTGCATGAAGGCCGCCTCCAGCAGCATCCAGGGCATCAACTTCGGCCTTGCGTCCGCGCTCCCGGGCAAATGCGGCGTCAACATCCCTTACAAGATCAGCCCTGCCACCGACTGCAACAGGTAACTCCTTTACCACCATCTTTTTAACGGCGAAAAAATGATCGGTTTCGCAACGAGGGTCTCCTTAACAGGTGTATTGGAAAGCATTCGATATCTACTTGCTCACTACAAGCATTGAGCCACGCACGAATTACTTTCTCTTGCATGGTGAAAGCACATGAATGACTTTTCTTCCGTTGCAGGGTGAGATGAATGCGAGGAGGGATTGCGTGGCTGAGGATGAGGAAATAAAGACGGGTTCTGAACCCCGCGAGGAGCTCCACTCGCGCGAGTCTCTCCGAATCGATGCTGTTTCTTTTGTCCTTTTCTTGTATTTTGTCTTGGTGAAATCCCATGTCGACACTTAGTACCGTCCGAATAACATGTTCAGCCATCGCAATGCAAAAATGTGTATGTTTTTCATCCCTTGAGTTCTTCTCTCTTTAACTATTGTTTATTTTCATCTTTTGTTTCTCATGCATTAATAGACCCAAGATCCAGACGAGAGAGAAAGAAATACCAATTCAAACCCGACGCAACAATCAATTTATTCATCAACCAAACTCGACCTATATACCCTACTACTTCATGGATTTATACGGCGTACCCAGCCGGCGTAAAAATTCGTTTTGCACAAGCGATCTTGGAATGGAAATGTCAATCCGCTGTTCATGGAATGGACCTAAGTGCTAAAAATTAAAAATTGTACAGGCGTCGTTGTCAAAAAACTTGCTTGTGTTAAGTCAGTATACTGTATAAAAGCCCTTACTTTATAGGCTTGACGCAGACTCCCAATAGAAAAATAACTCTAGAATAAGAAGTTAAATTAAGATAAGCATATAAAATCATGGATCATGTCATATTGTGTGCTATGTGTATATGTGGGGATAAAATCAATTGAAAGTGAATTGCGCGCCGCCCCCCCCCCCCACCACAAAAGAATATATTGATCTCTTATAATGAAAGTGATCTCATCTGGCATGGAGATCTATGTTGTTTGGGTAAAGTTTCCATTTTTTATTTCAAAAAATACCATCTAAATATAGATGAAGCCAACATCAATTGAGAATTTTTGTGGAAAATTTTTTGCTTAACGTTCAAAGTTTTAGGATCGTAATCAAGAGCCGTCAAGAAAATGTATTTCTCTTGTCCAAATACTTAATTAGGTTCGTATGAAAAATTCAAGAACAATATTTACAAAATTCCGAACTGAACTTTGTATTTTTTTTTTTAAATTATAAAGAGCAATATTCCCTTTATAGCTAGTGGCCTTATGCAAAATTCTAGTGGAAATTTTTTTCTTTCACATCATATTTCGTCTGTGATTTTAACCCCCTAATATCGTCAAAGAGAGGAGCAAGCAATGACATATGTCCCTAAAATGATGTCAAAATTCCAAAGCACTCGAACGTGCCCATAATAAATTCAATTTTCAATAATAGTTTACCACCAGTTCTTCATTGAAAATCATGTTCCTATTTTTTTAATAATAATTAATAACTTGACGATAGATGAACTCACCAAGCAGACATATTCATAGGTGACGAGTCGTAAAACGAGGAAACACCATCGGATTTGTGGTCATTGGTTTGCTTCGTGTTGATGTTGTCAGTTTTCAAAACAATACTGTTTGTTGTAACCAATAAAATTAAATAGAAATAATAATTTTGACAAAGCGATAACACAATTGAAATATAAACTTCCTTTATTTCTACAAAATTATAACATAATTAAATAGGAGGTAAGGTACAGATTGCCGAATATCCTTGAGGCAATTAGTTTATGCTAGCAGTGTTTTATAGATTTACGAACTATACTTCCCAAGATATAATACATTGAACCCGTTTGGATTAGCACTATGCAAACATGACTCTATTAAACTTTTCCTCCAACTGGCATGTTTTGAGACTTCGTGTATTCTCCTCTCAAATGAAGAATGGTTGGTTTCAATTTATAAAGTTTGAAAGGACGTGATCTAAAGAGATATAGCTATTGCAGAAAACTGAAAAAACATGATCAAAGAGACATAACTGCTGCAAAAAACCGAAAGGACATGATAAAAAAGACAACTTTAAAGACATTTTTGTTGAGCCATTAACTCATAATTACAACAAATCCCCCACTTTAATGGATCAGCAAAATATTTTTTGACTCGAAGAATTTAATTGTGCCCGTAGAAATATATTGCATCAAGATGGGTAGCTTTCATTTTGAACCTTCTTTAATAAAAGTCTATCGGACTTACTTAACTAGTCGATGGACTAAGCCTTGAATAAGCCCAGAGAATAGACCTCACACAGAGTCTCTCTAATTCAAGATTGGTTCTCGGTTGTGTTCATTCTTTCGATCCTGAACTTCTCGAGATTCACGCGTGCTTTAGAGAATCTAGCCTTTAAAGATTTTCAGAGTCGGCCACCTCCATATATATAAGTACATTCTTATCAAAGATATCCTACCATACTTTACTGAGATGTTGTATTTCAAGCCATAGAAATCATTAAATGCCCAACATACCCTTAAAATGCGGGAATCGCTTGATTCGACCATCTTGAGCTTTTCGCATTGACGAATTCGATCAACTGAAGAGAGCCTGGGCAATCTATGGACGTAGTCGCGATGACAAGCTTTGGTGGCCCCCCTCCATGTCGTTTGGGTCGGGGCATTTGATTGATGTGCTCAAAGGGATTGTTGCCTTTGCAGCGTGACCGAATTTGAATATAACAAGTGTCAAATTTGAAATAAAATCCAGGATTTTTGTAGCATCGAACTAATCTAATATCTTGATAGAGTGCGACAGCGTTTCTAGAGATTACTCGGGTGGGAGAAACCAATCGTTGTGAATGATCTAAGGAATGACGTGTGGGTCGAAACTCACAAAGAGACCAGAAAAACTTTGGATGGCCATGGAACTTTTCGCCGAATGGCCAAATATTTCGGCCGGTTAATGACGTTTTCGTCCAAAGATATATATATTTTTATTTCTTTTTCTTCTTCCCTCGTCTTCTTGTTTGTCGCATGCTTGATTCGAACGATCTTCAGCGATGGCTTCTTGTTCGATTGCAAGGTTCTCGAGGCCATTTCGCTGAACATTACTAGTTTCTCTTTGAACTCGAAGAACGATTCTGTTTTGGAGCTCATCAATGAGCTCGAATTCGCTGCCATCGGAGGTATTAGGTCGAGCTTTTTAGGTTTACTTCGAAACTGAAGCTCTCGCTCTGGTTTTCCTCGAAGGCGATCGAGTTGACGTCGATATGTTCGAAAGTGATGGAGTAGGAGGATGGGGTGGTGGTGGTGGTGGTGGTGAGATGAGCCGGTTAGGCGGCTCCAATAGGGGGGAATTCGCCGAGGAGGTGTTGGTTGATGAGCTGAAGCCTCGTGGACACTTCAGTGCTCGATGATGTCAGCCATTTTTTGAAGGTACTTGGGCAGATTGAACTTTGAGTGATTGGGCTAGAAAAATTTGCAACTGAGTTTGCAACATCATCCGACTCATCTCGCCCTCCGGCTCAGCTTGCCTCCACTTCGCCTCAAGCCTCAAGGCCTCCCTGGCCTTAGCCATCTCCACCTCGACAAGCTTGATCCTCAGCATCGACTTTGCGAGTAGCCAGAAGCTTGTCGCCACGCCGGTCCACTGATGCGATGTTGCCGGCTGCGTCAAAGTTGACCGAGTCGCCGGGGTCCTCGCTCGAAGTGTGCACGCCGGAGAAGAGACTGGCGTGTTTGAGGCAACCGTTGTAGGAGTGAGCATGGTTCTAAGTTCTACCCTGGATCCTGAGAACCAAATTGGTGAGAACTTGGAGGTTCCAAGATATGCAGGGTAGATTTCAAATTCCAAATTTTGAGAAACCTGTTTCGACGGGTAGGTTCCAGGTTCTAGGTAGGCAAAACCTGGAACCTGAAATCTGGAACATGAAGCTTAAACAAGTTTTTTGTGTTTTTTCTTAATATATGTCTTCACATTATCCTGCGGTGTTTTTCATAGCGTTAGATGATGGGTGTATAATCCGGAACTACTAATTTGAGCTTTTCATTTTATGATTGTTAATGTTTCATATTTTTCGTGTGTCTAAATATAAATTATGATAAGTGGATCATAGCAGTAAGTGACGGTCATTAAAGGTGATGATTCATTGCAATTATTTAATTAACAATACAGGTGGAACCTAGGTAAAACTTGAAACTGACATTGGAACCTGTGATAGGGTAGGTTCCAAGTTCCAAGAAATGAGGAACTTATTCTCATGGGCAGATTCCACCAAGTGGAACTTGTACGGAACATGATACCGCTCACTCCTAGTATCGATTCACGCAATGACTTCTCAGTTTAATTGTATTTATTTGAACCGTAATGCCATGAAAATTAGTTTTTTGTATTCTTTTTAGTGAATGATAAGCATGTTCAGTATTGTTGCGTTCATTTTTGTTTTGCTTAACCAAAAATGAAATAAAAAAAAAAGAATCTGTTAGATCCTGGAACCTACCCTAGAACATGTGATAGGGTAGGTTCTAGGTTCCAAGTTCCAACGGGTAGGTTCCAGATTCTAAAAAATGAAAAACCTATACCCGAATGTAGGTTTCAAGTTCTAGGTAAAACCTAGAAGCACTCACCCCTAAGCCGTCGCCATCGCCGCGACCTTTGTCCGGTGTGGTTCGAGGGGAGGGATCCACCATTGGAGGGAGTACATTGCTTTCGAGATGAAAAGACTATACTACTTTGGCGACGAAGTAGTAGATGAACAGTCGGAAGCTAGGGCTGGCCGACGGGATTGGACCTTCTTTGAGACCGACGTGGTAATTTCAAGTTATTATTTGAAATAAGGCCCATTTTGAATTTTCCCACGGATAAATGATCTCTCCATCCATCCATCCATCCACTTTGAAATAAGGTCTACTCAAATCGAGAAGGAAAGACTTTTTGATCGAATCCTTCGGAGAGAAGTATACTTAATTGCTAAGCTAAACGGATTAAAAGTAGAGATCCATCAAATTCCGCAAGACCTGCCAAACAAAAAAAAAGCAAAAAAAAAACAATAATAATTCAAATATATCCTTCGGAGACGCGACCTGCAGACGCCTCCGGCGGCGCGTGTGGTGGCGAAACCACACGTGGATCTCATGCACCACAAAGCGCACTTCGGGAGCCGTGCCGACTGCCCGCGGTCACCCTTCTCCCACTACACGAGAAACATCTCTCATCTCGCGAGAAAAACCGCTCCTCAAAATATCGTACGCCGACTCCCCCAACCCCCCCCCCCCCGCCCCCCAAACTTCTCGTTGAACAACGGCTCGCCGTATAGTCTCTACCACTACTGCGGCGATTCGTTAGAGCACGTCTCCTTCTTCTACATCTCACGCTCTTCTACGTCTCCTTCCTTCTGCGCTCGACACAGGAGAAGACTTCACGCGGCGAAAAGCTCTTGATTCGAAGCTAAAGCGATTCTTTGCTGTCGCGCTCTCCTCGGCCGCTTCCGGATTCGATCGATCGGAGGAGACGGCGGCGGCGGCGGCGGGGCTGCGGGGCAGGATGGGGGAGGGGAAGCTAGGGCTGGTGCTGGCCGTGTGGCTGCTGCTGTGGGGCGCCTGCGCGGGGAGGTTCGTGGTGCAGAAGAACAGCCTGAAGGTGACCAGCCCCAGCTCGATGAAGGGCGCGTACGAGTGCGCCATCGGGAACTTCGGCGTCCCGCAGTACGGGGGCACGCTCGTCGGCACCGTGGTCTACCCGCGGGCCAACCAGAAGGCGTGCAAGGGCTTCGAGGGGTTCGACGTCAGCTTCAGGCAGAAGCCCGGCGGGTTGCCGGTCTTCGTCCTCGCCGATCGCGGAGGTGGGTTTTCGGCGGGGGGCTGCTTTGAGTAATCCCTGTTTTTTTGTCGCTGGCCTCTGGAGCTTTGCGTTGCGTTTGTCGTATTCGCTTGGCATCGATTTAGGACCCTTTTTGGCTTCTATTTGTGGGTATTCAGCTCCTTCGGTGCGCAATTTGAGTTTCGTATGGCGACGCGATACCCTCTTGTCGCTTGAAATTCATAATTTGCGCTCGATTGGTAGGTTGGTTCTTTTTCGTGCGGTCGATAATTCGATTACGTCTTTTCGTCGGGCCTGCTTGAAATGATCGATTGTTCTGTCTCGTTGCCGGACATCCCAGTAATTAAGACATACATGTTTGGATCATTAAGGAATTTAATCGCTTTAGTATGAAATTTTCTACTTTTGAAGCCAAGTCATTCAGAGACCAAAACATAATCTTGGAATTTTTTGCCATTTAATTACTCCGAAGTCTTCCGGTAGTCCTTTTCCTCTAATGTCCTTATCGAGGTTTTCTAATGTCCTTTTCCTCTAATGTCCATTTAATCTTGGAATTTTTTGCCATTTAATTTTTTGCTAGGAATTTGAAGAATGTTTCCGACTTCCCTTGCCTCCGAAATACCAATTGATGTGTGAATTTGCTAATTTGGCAGATTGCTACTTCACGCTGAAGGCGTGGAATGCCCAGAATGGTGGAGCCGCTGCCATTCTTGTTTCAGATGATAGAGTAGAACCGTTGATCACCATGGACGTTCCCGAAGAAGAGAAAGCTGATGCTGATTATGTTGAGAAAATCACTATTCCATCGGCCCTTATTAGCAAAAACTTGGGTGATAGCATAAAGAAAGCTTTGTCTGATAATAATATGGTTAACATCAATCTGGATTGGACTGAGGCTCTTCCTCATCCTGATGAGCGGGTCGAGTATGAATTCTGGACAAATAGCAACGATGAGTGCGGGCCAAAATGCGACAGTCAGATTGACTTTGTTAAGAACTTTAAAGGAGCAGCGCAAATTCTTGAGCAGAAAGGGTATACTCAGTTCGCCCCTCATTATATAACTTGGTACTGCCCAGAAGCCTTTATTTTGAGCAAACAGTGCAAGTCACAGTGCATCAATCGTGGGAGATACTGTGCTCCCGATCCGGAGCAAGATTTTAGCGTTGGATATGATGGAAAGGATGTTGTAGTTCAGAATTTGCGTCAAGCTTGTTTCTTCAAAGTGGCAAACGAAAGTGGAAAGCCATGGCTTTGGTGGGACTACGTGGCTGACTTTGCAATCCGCTGCCCAATGAAAGAGAAAAAGTACACAAAGGAATGTGCAGATCAAGTAATAAAGTCTCTTGGTAAGATTTAGTTATTATTAGATGTCATCTGGTACTGATGCATGCACTTGTTAGGATCTCCTTTGACTTTACATTTACATAAAGCATTGAAAAGATTTTCTTGATTTCTGAGTTAATACAGAATTAAATGTGATATTGTTGCATGTCTTTCGTTGTAGAAATAGTAAATTGGTAGCTTAGGGATGAACCATGTACTACCCATTGAATCTCTTTCATGATAGACAGGGCCAATCTGACTAGCTACTGTATCTTCTCAAAAAATATAGATTGCCTTTTTAATCTCGATTTTGTTGAATATGGAAAATAGAACATAAATAGCTCAATTGAGCTTCCTACCTCCCACATGTCCAAAGACGTGTGTAACCAATAGACTGTGAGCCTAGTGGCTTAAAAGGTGCTTTATTCTGTTTAGTATATTAAGTGAATTATCAATTGATCTAAGAATGAGAAAATAGGAAAAGAGTGATGATTGTGGTCGCACTCGTGGAGAATGCAGCTAAGACATTGTTGTGTATATCCAACATCTGTTTCATTATTTTCTACGTTTTTGTGTCTAAATTAAAGTTTCATGACTGTAATACCATTAAACTTCATTTTCCTGCTAATGGAGGTCTGACTCACTTCTCATCCATCAGAATCGTCCTCTTTATCTGTCTGGTTCATGTTCTTGCATTCTCTAGAGGGTGCTTTTTGGCTACCATACTGGCGAGTCTCGTTTTATTGTCCTTTTCTCATCCAATTTTCATTACCCTTTTTCAATCTCCTTTTTCTTGGAGGATTTTTTTATTAGTTTCCTTTTTGTTAAGCCATAGTATTTGCTTTTCTTTATGTACTCTCTTTGGGACCATGTAACGTATTGGGGCCAAATATGCTTTAAAATTCGGAAAAAAGGTTACTCAGCACCCGAGGTTCCGACTTCTACCTTATAAAGAAGTTCTGTACTCAAGTTGGTTGTATGTTCCCTTCTCTATTGAAAAGAAATTTCCAGTTGTGATAGTTTTATCTTCTATTATGTTAAGGTGTTGATCTCAAGAAGATAGATGAATGCATAGGCGACCCTGATGCTGACGTGGACAATCCAGTTCTTAAAGCTGAACAAGAAGCACAGGTAATTAATACCTTTTTTCTGAGTTGATTCTGTGTTATTTTGATTATTTATTGTATTCATTTGTGATTATGCCAAATAGGCCACGTGCGTGTGGAGATGTAACTATTTTGCCAACTTTTGTCATGAGCAATAGACAACTTCTTGCTGAGTAGTCTCTTCATATTGTTGTATTTAATTTTTGTATTATTTCCAATTATGCCAGATCGGCAAGGGTGCTCGTGGAGATGTAACTATTTTGCCGACTCTTGTCATAAATAATGGACAGTATAGAGGTAACCAGCCACTAATTGACAATGCAGTAGGACTTCTGGATCTTCAGTTTTTTAATGGTCTGTTTTCATGTTTCAGGTAAGTTAGACAGAACAGCAGTCCTGAAGGCCATCTGCTCTGGTTTCCAGGAGACCACTGAACCGGCTATTTGTCTTAGTCAAGGTGCTCGTCGACTGCCTTCTTAAATAAGGCTTCTGAATATGCTTTACTGTTTAAAACATGCCAAACGCTGTGCCCTTGTCCTATAGGAATGTCCGACTGATCTGCCTTTCTGGTTCTGTAATTCATATACCTCTGACTCCATTTTTATTCTTTGGCAGCTTTATTTCATGAGTAGAGAGCATTATAGCATTTTTAATTGTCTAGGACATTGACTATGCCGAGGAAGTGTCTTTTCCCTCATTCTCTCTTTCAGTTTTGTGTCTTCTTTCATTCTCTTCTCCATCCTTTAAGCTAGATCTTTCTTCTTTAGAAAAGTTCCTTTTTTTCCTCCTGATTTCGATATGGCATATTGCGATGTTTTTTCAAGCTTTGGATGATAGAAAGAAGGTTTCGAACTCTTTTAGGACATACATGTTTAGCGTGGTTCCTTGTTTTTGGAAAATAACATTATTAAGTGCATGTTCTTACACGTCTTAAAATCATTTCTGCATAATAAATTAGCGATGTGGCTTAGGAAACAAAAACTTGAATCACGTTGTAATAACAACTAACAATTTATCCCATTCGAAAAGAAGTTTTAGGAATAAAAAAGTTGTTATATCAGCTGTCTTTTCTTCCTTGCTTTCCTAAGACATAGTAAGAACTACCATTTTGCTTGTAGAAGTTAATATCACTTTGTGTAAAATTTGTAGTCATAAATTTTGAACAAATTAAGCGCATATCTGTGCCCTCATAATTGTCTATTCTTAATTCATATAAGCAATATGTTTCATAGCAATAAACCGCTCATAGTTAATTATATTCAAGTGATTGTAGAAAATTGAGTCTTGCAAAGATAATATGAAATATATTTTCATGCATTGATTTTTACAGAAATTGAGACAAACGAGTGTTTGGAGAACAACGGTGGCTGCTGGCAGGACAAGGCCACTAATATTTCTGCATGCAAGGTATCTTTTCTACCTTGTATTTGTGTATTCTATGAAGAATCCTCTTGATTTGGTTTTAAATTGTTTCTGATTCATGTGGTTCCAACATCTCTGATACATGCCACTTATGCAGGATACATTCCGGGGAAGAGTATGTGAATGCCCTATAGTGCAAGGTGTGAAGTTTGTTGGTGATGGTTATACTCACTGTGAAGGTAAACATGCTTTGGTTGTAGATCTGTCTTAAGCGCTCGTAACTGTATATACATTTATTCAACATCGTCACTTCTCTATGGAAATATAAGATTGTGGAGTTTAATTCGACCTTGCCAATTTACTAATTTTGTTTTGTTCTGTTTGCATAATTTCCTTTCTGATACTTTGCTTCTCAGCTTCTGGAGCGTTGCGCTGTGAAATCAACAACGGGGGATGCTGGAAGGATACGCAATATGGCAGGACGTATTCTGCTTGCATTGTGAGTTCAAATGTTGTCTTGTTTTTCCTAATGCTGTAAGATTTGTTGTGCTGTTGCTGGAGTTGGTTATGATTTTCCACGACTTATCTGCTAGGACGATCACACAAAAGGCTGCAAATGTCCTCCTGGATTTCGGGGAGATGGAGTCCACTCTTGTGAGGGTATTGAATCTAATTGCCTTGCACTCATCTGACCGATAGGAGTTCATTTATTCTAAGTGAAGGAAGGATCTCGCTGCGTTTTGAATGGCATGGAATTTTCCTAATCTTCCTGCCTGTTAATGATTTCTTTCACATTTTCGTGGACTTTCAGTTTAAGCTTTAATGATAGTCAATTGGGAATGGTGTGTTCGCCGTGACCATTGAGATTCTGATCATTAAGTGGATAACTCCTATCATGTCTCGCATATGCGAAGAGGATCTAAGGTTCACTGCGGAGGTCTTTTAGTGGGAAGTAAAAAGTGCAGAATTCTTTTGTTACCAAGAAAAGAAAAAAGAAACATTGCAATTTTTTCAAAGTTTAGGCTTTTCTGCTCATCCTTTTAGCTCCTGTTTTGTCAAATGTCATTTATTTGGTCACAGCACCTCATTCTCCGGAGATCATCTGTACATTGTCTTATTTGTCGCAATCATTTTAGATGTGGACGAGTGCAAAGATAAAGTGGCATGCCAGTGCCCGGAATGTAAATGCAAGAACGTCTGGGGTAGCTATGAGTGCAGCTGCAGTGGTGGTTTATTATACATGCAAGAACATGACACGTGTATCGGTGAGTACCCTCGAACCCCTGTTCTTTTGCAGTTCAAGCTTGAACCTTGTGATGGATGGGAACAATATTTTAGACCATCAGCTAGTAGATATACCTGCAACTGAGAGTATATTTTATTACTGACTGTTTATTCTGTTTATTTACGAGTTACCCGTTGCAATTAAGGAAATAAAACAGGCCAGTGCTTCTCAGGTTGAGTCAAAATGTGGGAGCATGTATTCTCCAGAGCAGGAAAAATCTAATGTTGAGTTGCTATGTGCTGCATTTTCCGTGTTCGCCTTCTAATTTTGCGATATTCAAATGCAGGTAAGAACACTCGTACCGAGTATAGCTGGGGCTTCTTCTGGACTATTGTTTTGGGTTTGGCTGCTGCCGGAGTTGCGGGATATGCTGTTTACAAGTACAGAATCAGGGTATGATTTTATTCAAAAACCGGTGGATGATTACCTTTTTACTATGTACTTGTTACTGTCCATTAACTACATTGTGACGTTCTGATATTCGTCGAACTTCCGTGCAGAGATACATGGATTCTGAGATAAGGGCGATCATGGCTCAGTACATGCCCCTGGATAATCAGGGCGAGATACCTAGTCATACTTATGCCTCCCGCGGGAACATCTGAAACTACGAAGTCTCTCGTCGCCTAATTCCATACCCTCCCCATGTCAAATTGACTGCTAGTGGTCTTGCAGTCCGATTGACCCTGTGCTTGTAGATCAGCAGTGTCGCAGGCGACGAGGCTGCTTTTCGGTCAGCATATAACGGTTTAATTAGAAGACAGTTTCAGTTTTGGTCCTATTAATGTAAATGTCTAACCGTTATCTGGCTTTACACAGATTCAAGCGATACGACAAATCATCCTAGTCTAACTAGCAAAATAATGGTCTCGCTTGTGATATGTCGATCCTGTACTTTCTCTCATTGGGTTTCCCGGGAGCGTGATTCTTTTCAACTTCTGTCCATCTTTGTTGTGGTAGGCTTTAATTATGTCTCTGTTCTCTAGATAGGTTTCGTGTATTAGGCACAAGAACATTACCTGTAATGTTCTTCGCTCAACGAGAAATGGATGACTGGGTGCCCATTTTCGCATGCTCTTTCGATGGCTCTAAAGTGTTGGAGCAGTCGCGGAGATTGTTGCTCCGGCATCTCCCACGATCAAAATATGACAGAAATCGGATTTCCCAGTTCGCTCTCATTCCGGCATCTGCCGATGTTGGCTTGGATCTTAAGTTCTTCAAATCACGTTTGGAAGTGGGGCAAAATGTCTCTATTCATCTTTAATTGGAGCATAAATGACTCAATCATAATAGACCCGGTTAGACCTTAGTCATCCGACGGGCTGATCGATGAGCTCTCCCAATAGTCAACCTTGATCCTCGAAGTACTAATTGGAGAAGATATCCCCCCAAGAAACTGCATTAAAAAGGCCTCGTTAAGGTCCCCGTTCGTGGATATCAATGGTGGGTAAGTGTGCTGATTTTGTTGTATCCAGTCATTTCATTGATTAAATTATTCTCAAGAAAGAGGTCAGTTGGAGGAGATAACGAGCCAGGGATATCGAAGTCAAGTAAACGTTAAAGGGCAAGCCTTTCCATAGCTACGGGCCAAAACGGGCTTTTTCGAAAAGAAGGCCAGAAAATGGGACGAAAACGAAGGATTGCAGAACTCAGATTCTCGTCCTTTTGACTGTCGCGAGAGAAGACGTGCGAGCACTGTCGTTTCGCTTCGCTGGGTATTAAAATAACGCAAAAAACGCAGTGTCGGGTGTCTTCATGCTGCAGTGCAGTGTCGTCTGTTTTTTCCCACCTTGGGGAGGTAACTCCGCCGCGACTTGGCCTTGGGCTCGTGTCACGTTTCGCTGTGCCGTCGCCACTGGGGCATCGTTGCTTCAAGTCAACGAAGTCGCGTTTGGCCAAAAGCAAACGTGAGGGTGAAGTTATGGAGGTTGAAGTTATAAGCTGAATGAATGCGTTGGGACAGAATGATTCTCTCTGTCGTCAATGATTGAGTCCTAGGCAACTTTTACTTTCGTGGCTATTGCAAGGGCCTTAGATTGAAATTGGGAAAATGACACAATCAGTACTTGAACTTTGACTCAATGTGTAATTTGATCCCTGAACTTTTAATTTGTTCAATATAGTTCATGAACTTTAACCCAATGTTCAATATGGTCCCTGAACTTTCAATTTGTTCAATTTGATCCCTGAACTATTGGTACATGTTCAATATAGTCCCTGAACTTCATAAAAATGTTCAATGTAGTCCTTCTATTAATTCAAGTTTAGGGACTATATTGTATATTTTCATATATTTCAGGGACTAAATTGAACATTTACTAAAATTTTAGGGATCAAGTCGAACAAATTGAAAGTTCAGGGACCACATTGACCATTGGGTTAAAGTTCAGGGACTACATTGAAGAAATTAAAAGTTCAAGGATCAAATTGCACATTGAGCCAAAGTTCTGGGACTGTTTGTGTCATTATCCCGTTGAATTTCTTATTTCTATGACATGACCATTGAAAAAAAAGAGTAGAAAGACATTTGACCTTAAGGGACTCGGGAGATATTGGGTCATCGGTTTATGGATGGGAACCTATCTTGGAACCTAGCCAGTTTAGATGGGTTTTCAGTTTGAGGAACCGGGAATCGATTTTGTTGGCACTAAAATCGGCGGGGTGTTCTTTTAATTTATATATTATACTAAACTGCAGGATGTTTATTAACGGCATTCAAGCATTGCATGAAACTACAGTTAAGCATAACCGTCCACATTCTTAAAAACCTTAGAGAAACATTTCGCGGACATTAACGAAATTCAGCACACTCACACGACAAGTCACCCATATAATCAACAAGGGACGAGGAGAATACGAGTCGACAAGAACGATGAAGTCAAGAAATCAATCGTATTTGGTTTCGATAGATGCATAAGTCTCCTCCGCCGACTTTGCCAGCTGAAGTAAAGTGGCTCGTATGTCAAGCAACAACACGTCGTACACTCCCTTCGCATCCCTTCCTGCATCTACAAGTCACGATATAGCGAGAAAAATCGAATCTAATTTAGGCAATTGAGATTGGAATCACGATAATCAAAGCAAAATTGCACGATTGCTTGTTAAGCATAGAGAGGATCGAGAACTAAATGGAGAAGCATGGAAGGGAAGTGAACTGGCCTGAAGCTATTGAGAGTGAGGCTTCTTTAAAGAGCCCTAATTTTAATTCAGGGTTGCCTCTGAATTGGCTCTGTCGGTTCGATCCCGCACAACGAACTAAGAATCGGGCCGTTTATTACCGGTTCCTGCGAGAACCACCCAAACTAGTCGATTCGATTCGATTCCAAGGTCCAACCCAAGACCGATTCTCACCCTTAATTCTCATAATAGTTCTTTTTCTCTTGTGGTATCTTAAAGAGGGGATGAATACGTAATTTTTTTCCCTTTTTGGATTAGGATGTATCTACACGATCAGACATTCAAGTGATTTATAACACGATTTGTATAAAGGTACATCACTAGTGTAAAATATACGTTACATAAGTTCAAGAAATGGATTGGCTGATGATAGCCAAGTCGGATGTGGAAAAGCCACGTCGGATGAGACTTTGTCCAGGTAACTGGTCAAACAAAAAAACACAAACAAAAGTATATGTAATAAAGAGAGAGAGAGAGAGAGAGAGAGAGAGAGAGAGAGAGAGAGAGAGAGAAATAGACAGAGTAGAGTGAGAGCACTCTACTCGGTCTATTACTCTCTCTCAATCTCTGTCTCGCCGTTGAGCGCTTTAAATGCACTGCTTTTACTTCCATTTCTTTATTGAGCTGACCCTATCTCTCTCTCTTCTCTCTCTCTCTCTCTCTCTCTCTCAGTCTCTCTCTCCTCTGTGTGGTTTCTTGCTATCACCACTCTCCAGACTCTCTCTCTCTCTCTCTCTCTCTCTCTCTCTCTCTGTCTTCATTTAATGGTTCTCAGAATTTGAGAGGTCCCCCTTCGAGGGAAATTCATCCCCGCCCGCGGGAGACCTTGCGCCCGCCCTTCTCGGCGATCTTCGCTCTCAACTCGCCGGTTTTTGCCCATTTCCTTCCCACCCAGCAATTTAAAACAGGGAAAAAAAAGGAGCTTTCCTTCTTTCTAAACTTTGCTCCTGCTCAGAAGCTAAGATCACAGAGAAGCCCAAAATACCACTTGCTTCTTTGTCCCTCCCTCTCTCTCTCTCTCTCTCTCTCTCTCTCTCTTACTCTCTCTTGCTCTGCTTCTAAGCTTCTTCAAAATCTATGATGATGTTTCCTTGACAATGTTGGAAGTGTTCTTGGGACTGTGAAGCTTGAGCAAGCTCTTCTTGGACTTGGGGTTTCTTCCTGCTTGCCGAGGGGTTATTTTTGCTGGTGATCAACTTCTTGTTGTGGTTGGTGGGGTCTTCGTTCTGTTGAGGTAGCTGCCGGTGCTTTTTTTTGGGGTCGCCTGTGAGTACTGCTGTCAACTTTTTTCTCATATTAGACAACAGTGCGTCAAGGAAAGTTGCTTTCCTTGAGGGAAAGAATGTGCGAATATTTCGTGCTAAATCTCCAGCGCATCATGTTGGTATCTTCTTGGCTCGCCATTCATGCTTTGAGATTGTAAAAATATCGCACTTCGCTTTGATTGGTGGTGAGTTGGTCGTTAATCCCCAATTGCTCTGTTTGGAGGGGCTCTGTTGCTCCTGCCCTGTCACCTTTAGAAAGTATACAATATTTACCACTTCAGTCATCTGTTTCTTTGACTGTTGCTCGAGTGCATTTTGAGCTTCCTTTCATTTCATTGATCTTTTAGCTACCCTCATGAACCATAATCCTAGTGCTTCCCTTCCTTGAAGAAACTGTTCAAAATCCTTTCTTCAAGACCTACGTATCATATTTAACCTCTATGCACTGAGCTAAGAATGGTATTCAGAGTGTTTCTTCTACTTCTCTTTGCTCCGATTTTCGCCCAATCTTTAGACGCAGTTTTCAACGATGACGTTTTGGGGTTGATTGTGTTCAAAGCCGGGCTTCACGATCCCAAAGACAAGCTTTCTTCGTGGAATGAAGATGCTGAATATCCTTGTGACTGGGTCGGGATCAAATGCGACCCGAGGTCTAACCGAGTCACTGAGGTTGCTCTTGATGGATTTTCTCTTTCCGGACACATAGGCCGTGGCCTTTTAAGATTGCAATTCCTCCAGGTTCTATCACTTTCCAAGAACAACTTCAGTGGACCTATCAACCCCAGTCTCACGAACATTGGGACCTTGCAAGTCCTAGAATTGAGCGAGAACAACTTCACGGGATCAATCCCAGATGAAATGTTTCAGCAATGTGGCTCGCTAAGAGTAGTTTCATTTGCTAAAAATAGTCTCATGGGGCGGATCCCTGATTCTTTAAGCTATTGCTCGACATTGGTCGCTGTTAACTTCTCCTCCAATCAGCTATCTGGGAAGTTACCTCTAGGAATGTGGTTTTCGAGGGGGCTTCAATCGCTTGATCTTTCTGAAAATTTACTGGAGGCAGAGATCCCTGAAGGAATTCAGAACTTATATGATGTTAGGGTTGTGAACCTACGGAGAAACCGGTTCACCGGGAATATTCCGGGGGATATTGGAGGAAATTTGCTTTTACGCTTTCTTGATCTGAGCGAGAATTTGTTCTCTGGGAACCTTCCAGAATCAATGCAAGGACTGGGTCTATGCAGTTCTCTTGATGTACATGGAAATTTACTTACAGGGGAGATTCCAGATTGGATTGGGGAATTAAGAAGCCTCGAGAATTTAGATCTCTCGGGAAACAAACTGTCTGGTTCAATCCCACCGTCAATTGGAAATATCCAGTTACTAAAGAAACTAAATCTGTCGACGAACCTTCTCACCGGAAGCTTACCGGACTCGATATCTAACTGCAAGAACCTTTCAATTCTAGATGTTAGCCAGAATTTGTTAACGGGTGGTTTTCCTTTTAAGCTGGACACTGGAGGTGTCTCACTTTTGGGAAATGGAGTAGATAAACGCGCGGAATATACTTCACTTCCAGCTACAAGTTTGTATAATAATCTGCGGGTCATGGACATATCTTCAAATGCTCTCTCCGGTGAAATTCCGGCCGACCTTGGCATTCTTAGTAGTGTGGAGTCACTGAATATGTCGAGGAACTTGTTCTTCGGTTCCATCCCAGCCAGCATAGGTGTATTAAAGTACACTCAGTTTCTTGATTTGAGCAACAATCGGCTAAATGGAAGCATTCCTCCTGGAATTGGAGAAGCAATTTCGCTCAAGAACTTAAAGCTGGACAAAAACTTCCTAAGTGGAAACATTCCACCTCAGATTGGGACATGCTCGAATTTGACATCACTGTGAGTCCTTTATTTGCTGCTTTAATCTCTGTTGATTGCTTCACATACAATGCAATAGTAGTGTGGGCTAAAATTCAGCTCCAATGATCTAAGTAAATTTGTGTCTCTAGATCTATTATTGAGTATTATATGATGGTACAAACTACAAATGGAAATCCTATTCACTTTCATGTCACATCTTCAAACTTTAAAGGCAGTTTTTCTGCCTAGAGACTGGCCAAATTGCTGTGTCAATGGAAACATTAGTTATATGTCATGGCAGCATGAATAGAGTGAGAAGCACATTGATGGCCTAAATTTGGAATATGTGGCTCGTTTGTTCTTTCCAGATGATTGAAGACAATCATATCGTGTTTCCCATAAATAAGTTCATGACATGACGTCTATTATCAATAGTTCTTATTTCTTAGTTTTGTGTTGCACATTCTCTCAACCAAGAATGCGAAGATAGTATGATCTTGGAAATTCTCTCATTATGTCATATTTTCATATTGTGCAGGATCCTGTCACAGAATAACCTGACCGGCCCGGTCCCTCCTTCCATGGCGAACCTCACTAATTTAGAGTACGTGGACTTTTCCTTAAACAATCTCTCCGGAAGCTTACCCAAGGAGCTGGCAAATCTTTCGCACCTGCTCTATTTCAATATCTCGCACAACCATCTGGAAGGCGAGCTCCCCGTCGGCGGGTTCTTCAACACCATTCCTCTCGCATCTGTCTCTGACAACCCGTCTCTTTGCGGCTCTGTTGTCAATGATTCATGCCCCTCAGTCCATCCAAAACCCATTGTCCTAAACCCTAATTCTTCCAACCCTGCGGGTGCTGCATCCTCTTCAAATCACCGCCACAAGCGTATTATACTCAGCATATCTTCCCTTATTGCCATCGGTGCCGCAGCTTTCATTGCCATTGGAGTGATAACCATAACTCTCCTGAATATCCATGTTCGGTCTTCCATGGCTCATTCTGCTCCGGCACTCACACTATCTGGAGGTGAAGATTTCAGCTGTTCGCCGACTGCTGACCCAAATTATGGGAAACTAGTCATGTTTTCTGGAGATGCTAATTTTGTTATGGGGGCCCATGCATTGCTCAACAAAGACTCCGAGCTGGGCCGTGGTGGCTTCGGAGTTGTTTATCGCGCGGTACTCCGTGATGGTCGATCAGTGGCAATCAAGAAGCTAACCGCCTCGGGTTTGATGAAGTCCCAAGATGACTTTGAGAGGGAGGTCAAGACAGTTGGAAAGATCCAGCACCCTAATCTCGTAAAGCTAGAAGGATACTATTGGACACCATCATTGCAGCTTCTAATTTATCAATTCGTTCCTAGCGGGAGCTTGTACAAGCATCTTCATGATGCAGATGAGAGCAACAGCCTAACTTGGAGGCAGAGATTTAACATAGTACTCGGGATGGCCAAAGGATTGTCGTATTTGCATCAAATGGGTGTGGTTCATTACAATCTGAAGTCAACAAATGTTCTATTGGACGGCTCAGGAGACGCAAAGGTAGGCGATTTTGGCCTTGCAAGATTGTTGCCAATGCTAGACCGTTGTATCTTAAGCAGCAAAATCCAGAGTGCGCTCGGCTACATGGCTCCGGAATTTGCATGCCGAACGGTAAAAATAACGGAGAAATGTGATGTCTACGGGTTCGGGATTTTGGTTCTGGAGGTAATAACAGGGAGAAGGCCAGTGGAGTACATGGAGGATGATGTGGTGGTGCTCTGTGACATGGTGAGGGGCGCTTTAGAGGAAAGCAAGGTGGAGAAATGCATCGACGGGAGGCTCGGAGGTAGTTTTCCACCTGAGGAGGCGATCCCGGTCATAAAGCTCGGTCTAATATGCGCATCTCAGGTGCCCTCGAACCGGCCGGATATGAGTGAAGTCATCAACATTTTGGAGTTGATCCAGTGCCCCTCGGAAGGTCAAGAGGAAATACAATGACCTTATAGTTTTGTTTAAATTAAAGAGCAATACGGTTCTATAGAGTTTGCCATTGCAGAGGAATCCAGTTTGCGTGATCTGAAAAGATCTTGATACTGTGATTCATATACTTCATGCATCTTCCTCTCATTACGGCTCTATTTTTGGATTCTTTCTTCACTGGTGTGATATTACAAGAGTCCAAATGTTATGTCCTCTATATCATACTTCGCTTTCAACATAAAGACAGCCCGAATCTCTTCGATTTGGTTTTTGTTCTTTGTTTTGGATTATATTGTTGTCCACATATGAGCATCAAGTTACATGGTACAGAATACTGATGGTCCATGTTGATTAATATCTGCAGAGTGCAGACAAGTCTATTTAGAGTAATTTTCAGGTTTCTTTACGATACTCTGCTTGCTATCGTCCAATACATTTGCCATTAAAACTCAAGATTGATTTCGATGTGCTTTTTTCCAAGATCTAAAGAAATGTAAATCTTTTTTTCTGTTTTGGTCGGGACTAGAGAAATGCAAGTCTGAACAACCCCGATTTTGAACAAAAACGAAAGAGTTGCAATGGGAGAGGAGTATTCAGATTGGTTAAACGGCTCAACCAGTGTCTCTGCACAGTGCACGATCTCAAATCGTCCAGACAACAAGTGAATTGAGTGCAGATTTTGAAATGGAGGAGCTTCCTTGTTAGTTTTGATGCCACTCTGATGAAGATGGTGTCACCATAATTAGCTCTGTAGTTCTACTGTATACACATGTTGCGTGATATTTCATTCACCAAATCTTAAATGAATGTCACGTATACATTTGAAATTTAATAGGTTACGAATTTTGCTTGGTTTGAAAAAAACATGACATTTTTAACACAATATATGTAGTTGATGCATTTCTCTAACGATGTAAGCTTTCTAAAGAAGATAGCAACACACTCCATTTTATCGTGATTAGAAAGTCATACTACCATCATGAAAGTTCGAAACTTTTGCGCAATCTCTTCATGGAATTTCTTCTTTCCCCCTCTTTGCTCGGATATATGCTTTTGATGGTGTCATCATGAGGGGAACTGTGTCAGCTCTCCCACCAGGACTCCATTGATGCCAATGTCAAACTCCCATCAGTGAAGTTATATCTATGGTCAACTTTCTCAGGAAAAGAATCATGAACATTCATGTTTGGCCAGTGAGTGCAATTATGCATAACTGAAGCACTCCAACACTTACATCACAGGAAGCATTAACTGCAATGCAAGCAAACATCCTCACTCTGTTTTTTCCTTGATAGAGTTTAATAATGAATTCTCGAATTTGAAGACTATTTTTTTTTAAAACTTTTTGTGGGGAGATCATGGTATTGGACACAAGGGGGACCTCAGAATCAAGTGCTTTCCTTTGCTTTTTGCCCCTTTTTTTAAATTTACACTTTTGTAGGAACAAATTGAAGTGCTTTGGACACCATGCGAGAGAATCACATGAGGTGCTCAAAAGCAGTGAGTGGTAGTAATTGGTGCCTAACAATCACATCATGCCTTGCAGTGGGAACTTTTCATGTCTTTATCTTTCTTCTCAATGATCAATCCCATTTTCTACTCAGCTCTAGTGAATGAGCCAGTTGTAGTTTATAGTTGATTTTGTGCCTTTGTGGCCACGCTAAGCAAGTAACTAAAGCACCAAAAGAAGTACAATAAACATAACTTATCCTGGATAAAATGCTGACCCCATGAGTCATTAGTAGGAAATCGTCGACACAAATCACGCCCCTGACCGGCGAAACGCAATGAACCCGGGATCGATGAGACAACGAGCACGTGGAATTTGTCCCCGGTCGGTTCAAGCGTGCATTCGGTAGGTTCACACAACCTACGAAGTACCATCGAAACTACTTGTAACAAGAGTTTTGAATTAAAAATTCCCCTTCTGGTCAAATAAAAAAGAGAAACAAAATTCATCAGAAGAACAGGGAAAAGGAACATGGGCAAAAGGGGCATTGAAGTCGTGGTCAATCATGATATGTGTGGAGTGCTGGTCTTTAGTGGAAGGATAATGATAGGAGAAGTGTGGTTAAAGCGATGCATGCAAATTAAAAAAGGGCATCTTGGAATGAGGGGAATTTGATAAAGCAAGCACCAGATTGTTGGCTTTTCCTTCACTTTTCTTAACATTGCAAGGACAAAATGATGGGTCGGACAACCCCAAATCATGCGACTGTTGGGGATTTATGACACTCATTCTGTCTGCCCATAAAGCTTAGTGCACAGAAGGGAACATGGTTTTTTTTTCCACCTTTTCCACTTTTTTTCCCATTGATTTTTTATAAAAAATTTCTTGTTTTTTTTTTTGTGTAAAGGAGGAACAGCAACCTCGTCGACGGCGAGTCCTGTTTTTTTGGAACATGGAAGCATCTCGACCCGACGATAGTTCTTAAATTAATGAGTTTTAATGTATGAATGAAAACCTGATTTGATATTAAAAAGGTACTAATAAGCTTCCTCCATCCAAAATAGCTTTTACATGTAAAGAAATTGCTAGCTGAGGGGCCTTTTCTTTCTTTCTTTTCTGGTTTCAAAAGTCCTGTTCTTTTCAACAGGGAAAAGCCCAGCAGTGGTTGTTCAAAGGGCCTCAGCACATACAAAATTCCAAAGAGCTGGAGGAGGGTTAGGGACCCAATTTAAGGCCAAAGATTTACATCTTTGGGACTTCCAGTCCATGGCTTGATTTGCCTCCCTATTACAACGTGCAAAAGAAACGAAGGGTAAATGGGCACCAATAGATGAGTGCATTCAGTGATAAGCGGGCGCACGTCTCAGGGAAGCCCGCAAGACACCTTATGAAGTTCACGTTATCAGATATAAGCTTTCTCCTCTCAATAGACTAGAACTCTCTAGTGAATATCTGCAGTGCCTCCCAAGGCTTCCCTCAAGGTTATCATCCCTATGTATCGGGCATTGCTCGTCAATGCATACATCGATAGACCTGTCGAACTTGAAAAAGCTATCAGATCATACTCCATTTACCTTTTGTTTCTTCAATTTTTAATGAAGATGAGAGTGTCTTTGGAAGCTGTAACACCTCGTGTCATTGACATGTGGTGAAGTGACTTAATCGATGGTGAATATTTTTTTCTGTAATTAATTTCTCTTGTGATAAATAATTGCTTTTTATTGAAAACGTTAATGAATTTTGTTTTACTAATATGTGATATAACCAGTCACCTGAGGAATATATTTGATGAACCGCCGGGGGCCCTTGAAACTATGGCAAGTTAATGAATCTGGACATGGTAAGATTAGGGCCAATCACCAATTGGCTCAAATATTGCTTTCTCCAACTTTTATTGTATTAATATATTATGGCTTTTGTAGGAGTATGTTATTGAGGCCCAACCCACCCACATGCTTTCAAATAGTACGTATAAAGGATAGTAATATTTCTGTCCAATCAATTTTAAATCTATTATACGAATGTTGATTCCATCCTAAACTTTTTAATTTTTCTGACTGAGTCCCAAACCTTTACGCGAAATTCCAATGTAATCCTTCCGGCCAATGTTCGCCAGAAATCGTTAACTTGACGGTATGCCACGTAAGACGATTGGGTGACCCTCCATGGACGTTTAATGGCTAATCGGATGGAAAGTTCACGATCAGAACCCAAACAAAAAGTTGACCAAATTGCCGGATCTAAACAGAAGCCCTACTTATACTAGCTCTTGCCTTACGGCGATATTGACAGAAAAGTTCGCTCCTATTTCTCCACAGCAGTTTGACAGCTCAAACAAATAAGGGAAGTGAACTCTCGCTTTCTGATTCTAATCTCTGCGCAAAGCACAAATGTTAGGTTTGGGTGGACCATCGTAACTTGCGATAAAGACTAAACACTCGGAACCGAAAAGCACGAGGCAAAAGAAAACTGGAATGGAAGAGGATCTTTGGTTCAACCTTAATGACTCACTATTCATAGATGTCTATGAGGGGCTTTAAACTTGAAAAGCAGATAACCACTTGTATTGGATGCCAAATTCTTGCGATGTGGAATCTCCACTCCAATAACTGTACCGGAAAACTCGATTCACAGAGCACCCAGTAAAAAAATGGATACTCGAGAAAACGAATTAGCAAGAGAAACATGAAAGAGGAAAAATGCGAATCATTCACATTTCATGTGAAAAAGAAAAGTTGCTACCAGAGACTTTTTCTGTGCCAAACTCAAAATCACGTTCTAATAAAAGTAACCAAATTGACATCAGTGGAAATTAGAAGGGAATTGCTCAATGTATCAAAACACTCTTGGATGTAAAGGTAAACTGTACAGGCGATCTGAGTGGAACAGTATTAGAAGGCAACACAATCCACCTCCTCAACTTCAAAATTTCGACGAACCTAATTGTGTACCTTTAACTGGCGCAACCAAACTGAAGCTCCCTTTCATAAGGTATGGGTACAGGTGGTATGAAATTGAATCAAGTACCTGTTTTTGTTATTGTCATGTCCCCTGGTTCCCTTTTTCTCCTCCCATGTAGAGATACAACTCTTCAAAAACCCTTTTCGTTGTCGATTCCTAGTCGTCCCAGTCACGTTCCCAACCATCCCTATTTGCAGGCCTAGAAGTGAGGCCATTTGCAGATATATTTCCTACATGATGCTGACCTGGAGATTTCACAGCATTCTCCTCATCCCAATTATCGTCCCATCCTTGATCCCAACCTTCTGCAGTTTCTATATTGGTCCCTTCTCCTGACCCCATTTCGAGCTCTTGATACCTGAACTCGCTCTTTCTTCGCCGCTTCCTAAACGCACAGCAAGCTAACACCCCGCCAAGGACCACCACTGTTAGAATCAAGAAATACGCACCATTGATCGGGGTAATTAGCTTGTCAAACGAAGGAAGGTAGAGGAAAACACTCGTGTCAGATACAAGAGGCCCCATGTCAAGCACGCAATTTCCTTTCCCAGCATTTAATACAACTTCACTGCCTTCCCCCGTAGAAAGAGAAATATTAATCTGAGTAAGAAACAAGAAATTAATAGGAAAACCTTTTAAAAAGGAAAACAAAATGAGAATTAAGCAGCGGATGAAAGATATGCTCTCTAAGTGACTATCAGTAATAAAGTTCTTTCTGCGGCTATTGATGTCTCGGTCAAAACACTGTAGAAAAGAGCCTCCAGAAGCAAGAGAGTGAATACAAGCAAATCTTATTCAATTGTACAATAATTTGCACAGCTTGCTATATTTGGCAAACAAGCCTGAAGATCTCTTACAGTTTTGCAGCTTGTCAACCTTACACTTAATTTGCGAGAAGAATTAGGAGTTGACGACATGGAGTTGAACAAAGGGAAGAAGGGGGGACGAAGAAAATGATTATCCTACTTGTTCTTTTTTTTTTTTTTTTTTTTTTGTCGGTCCTACTCTATCTCTCACTCACGATACACACTCAGACTTGCGCCCCACCTCTTGCAGGGCGTGGGCGTCGAAACCCACATCTTAAACTACGCGGCCCCACCCCTACCCCCCTGCGAAGGTGGGGATTCGAACTCCCCACCTCCCCCTTCTCAAGTGAGAAGGGTGGCCACTGGGGTAAACCCCCAGTGGTTATCCTACTTGTTCTGAAGGGTAGAGAGTGGAGGTGGAAAAAATGTAAAGAACTGGCCACTTTTAATAGGAAAAATATTCACGGTCCAATAGAGTGGAAAGAGCTCAAGCGTAATTTCTTAATTGGAGGCTCCAGTTCTATTCCCTCATTGATTGATTGATTGAATTAGTTATTAGCACAGTAGACTCAATTAGACAAAAATCATCTACCATACTAGGGCCTTTCCAAGCAACTGTTGGATAATTATTACTAAACTAACCAACTAATTTTATACTTCGGTTGTACCCAAAGTTAGTAACAGGTTATTTTATATAAGTACCGGATGGATGATGCATACCTTTCTGTTATAGTGTTTCGGTACTTCAAGTTTCATTGGAGCACCTGCGGCAGGCTTTGGCAGGCTTACTATCAAAGCGCTATCCCCCTTATTTTGGACTAAAATCACCAATTTGCTCAACCCTGCTGCAACTGAACGGTAAAATGAATTTAAGTATTTGTCAGAGTTTTCATGAAATTCTCAATGAAGACAAATAGATCAGTAAAAGTATAAAAGTATTTCCACGATCTACCTCTTTTCTAAAAAGAGATAATGACTATAAAACAACAAAGATATCAAAGAATTACAGAACCCTCATTTTGTTGCAGTATTATAGAAATCTGGAATGGCTGTAACTCCTTCAAAGCTTAGTGGTGAATATCACAAGAAAATATCTGAAGAAAAAGAAGGTAAACCTTACCAAATAGCTCAGTAAAAAGAAATGCACAACCAACTGAGAACTAGAGAGCTAATTCCTATGAATCTCACCTGTGTATGACACAATAAAGAGAATGTTCCTAAGAGGAATTCAACCATCTCCGAAGAGTCCTCTAAACTACCTAAGATATAAGAAGCATATTTGAATAGCATATGCATGTAACTGGATTCAGGCATACTTAGTACAAGCTACAAAAAGATTTTAAACTGAAAAGATGAACAGTTACTATGATACTTCCTATTCTGGCCAGTGAATATGACTCTAATACTTAGTTTCAGGTAAGTGACACCACCTGTTATCGAAACAAGAGAATATATTTCTTTACTGAATAAAAGAATAACTTGACAGGGCTCGTGCATTGTACTGGTCACCTGCCCTTCATGTGTGAATGCCCACAGCTTAAACTAATTTAACATGTCAAATTTAGCATCAGTTATGACTCAGGTCCTCCAAATATCCCGCAGCAGACTTTAAGAACTTCCCAACATGTCAAAAGAAATTTTTTTTCATCTAACCACGGAATGGAACATGCACAAAGGGAAAACCTTAGGAAAGATTAAATTTCTAAACCATGCATTAACTTCTCAATCTACATTGACATGAACTATTGAAGATGATGTATAATATTGTAACATTATGACAAGTATATCGTCATTACATCAACTCTTATTGATTGACATCAACTTAATCTGGAAAGAAAGCATTTCTGTAAGGCTTGAGATGAGTAAGTATAATATATAAAATATATAATTAACTGGACTAAGCACATTCCTTCTGCATATCAGTTTACTGAATCTATTAATTCAATAGTTTTAATGAGGTTGGCCCCCCCATTCACAATTTTATATACATGGTCAAGAGATTTCAATCATTTCAGAAGATTGACAGAATCAATTAAGTAGCACGGAATTGAGAACTGATGGACAATAATCATATATTCAGGAACATATAATTTCCTTTTTTGGGTTTGTTATGCGAAGGGCACTTTGGAACCCTATAATTATTGACAATCCATGAACCACAACAAGCAATTAGTATTCTTAGAATGTCACTCCAGCTAACTCTAACAAATTAAATCTAAAAATACCTTTTATCTTTCTATCTAAAAGTTTTGAACTTATGCTGACCAAGGAACTCAAAATCGTGACAGCTTAAAGATGCTAAGTACCAAATTCTCAAACCTTAAAATTTTTTCTGCTTTCTATACTTGTCCTATTAGGCTATCGTCATTCCATCTCTCCCTCTCTCTCTCTCTCGCTCTCACTCCTCTCTCCTTCCCGCTTCCCCTGCCCTCCACCCCCCCCCCCCCCCCCTGCCCTCTCTCTCTCTCTCTCTCTCCCTCTCCCTCTCCCTCTCTCCCTTTTTCTTTCCCTCTCGATCGATATATATATATATATATATATATATATATATATATATATATATATATATATATATATTGAGAGGATACATAATTTTAACTCATGCAAATGACTGACTTTTGCACCCAAACCATTTAATCACTTGACAAAGCAAGTCATTCTTCCCCATAATTTTTATTGTCTGGTGTTATAGTACCACAATTTTGACTGTACTATAAAAGAAAATACATCAATCAGAATTACTTATTCTACTAATCTTTGATAAACATACCAATACGAGATACTATCAAGAAACCTGGAATGGAATTATCATTCTCAAGCTGATATTCACTTCATGGTACTCTCTATAATCATCCAGAAGCCAGGTTTCCCATTCACTGGGTTTAGACTTCAAATTGACTAAAGATATGAGAGTAAACTCAAAGGAACACATGGTTCTCTTGCCCTCAAGAGATTGAGCCCCTGCAACTTTCATATTGGAATTTCCTTGAAATTCATACCACTAATAAAGATGACTTTTCATTGTACATCACAGAATAATTGAAAGATCGCAAATTTAAAGTAATCAACATTACTGCTATGCAATCCCTTAAACCTCTTGCCTATTTTAAAATTAAAAGTAAAATCTCTCTCATCGTACGACAGTTTAAGTTCATTTTCCCAAAACAGTTCAATTCTTCACTAGACATCTCCTTCCTTACCTGTTAGAAACTACCTTTCACTTTCTTTCCACACGTGTACATTTTTCCTCTTCTATTAGTCTACTAGTAAGATAATAAGCCAGTGACCCACCATAGTCCATGCCGGGCTAGTTTCCACAAGGGAAAATTGCACCAAAATTCCTAAATAGGCTGCCCAATGTGCAATCAAGTCCTAAACTTCGTTCTATTTTTTTTATATTTGGCCTATTTTCTGATGTGGTGCCACATCAGCGCCGCATCAGCCATAAGCTCAAAGATAGTAAAAAAGCGCCACGTCAAATTTCTGGTGTGCAACGTCGGTAAACTTAGTTGATACCTCGCCAGAAAAAATTGATAGCATTAGATGCAAAATGTTTAGTACTTTCAGCAAAACGCGTAGGGACTTTTGGTGCAAGTTTTCCTCTCTACCAATTCAGATGTAACCTCTGTGAATTGTTGAAGTATCCAATCATAAGTCGATCATGATTACCTACTCTGTCATCCGGACTGTGCCAACAATTCTTGATAGAGAAGATTCCCATAAGATTTGAAATACTAATTTCTCAATGAGGATTTTCTCAAGATAAAGGCCAAGAGTGTTATTAAAGATTGATAGAGCTAAATTTTCAACATGAAGCATATCATTTCAACGGTAAAACTTCATTCAGGCAACAGAAGATACGGGTTGCAACAATCAGAATTGACTTCTACACTTTATGATGATACCGCTTGTGTCCTGTGTTGTAAACCGTCTCCAAAGTGCATATCAAAATAATAGGCAACATATGTGCAACATGCTTCTATGAATCACAAGAAGAACTCTTGTCGCAAAACTTCCAACTCATGTTTTCCTCCAAAACAGATCTTCAAAATGAAATGCAGAACAGATCTGATGACAAATCAAATTTAGAAATGGGATGATGCCCATTTCCAATTGAAATGAAATGGAATGAAAGAAAGTAGAGATCATCACCTTCAAAGCTCAGAATGCAGGCAGTCAGAGTTCCAGTATGACACACTTTGTCTTTGACTTTCCCATCACAAGTCTCGCTGATTTCTGCTGGCTCGTGCAGCTCCTTGTCTTCCTTCTTATCATCATTCTTTTTCTGCTCCTTGTCTTCCTTCTTCTCATCATTCTTTTTCTTCTCCTTTTGTTCAACCGAAGGTGCACTCACGGACCCACTGCCATTCTGGCCTTTTGGGGTCGAATTGGACGAAGTTGTGCTCACCTCACTAGATTTACCGGTATCGTCTGTTCCGCTATCCGACTTCTTGGAACCTGAAACAGGACCTGGCAGCGGAGACGCCTAAACAAAAACATATCACTGAAGCCACCCCTTTTGCTACCACGAACCAACAACTGATGCTGAACGAATACAATACAAAACGACAGTTCGCACGCCCAGAAAGAAGAGAGAACAGACCTGTGGTGGCGGAGAGGAGTTGACAGAGTTCTCCGAACCAACTTCCTTTCTGAAACGCAGGGAAAGAGAAGCACCGAAGCCGAAAGCATCCCCCACGACCAAACACACCAAGACCGCAGCGAGAAACCCATTTTTCGCCATCACAACATCAATCGTCTCACGATCTCACGACTCGAGCTTCAAGAACGACGAATCCTCGGCAACCGACCCCAGAAACCGAGCCGACGACAAGTTCATCTTCCCGCGAGAATCAACACCAACAGCGACCCAAATTGCAGAGAACTGAACTGAATACGAACGAGCTCAGATCTCACGCGACGGCGACGGCGGCGGCGGAGGAGGAAGCAACCGGAGGATCACAACGGAGGGAGGCGTGAAGCGGAAGACGACGATGGGGTTCGCGAATCTGCCATCCGATTCTTCGCTTCGAGCACGAAAAAGAGTCGCGGGAGCGACGCGTGCAACCGCTAAAAAAGTCGCCGAGTAGGGGCCAGTGGGATTAGTGTTTATTTAGCATTAATTAAGGTTTAACATCGTAATTAACCGAGGAACAGAGACACTTCTCCCTGAAGGTACCGGGTTTCGTACGGGTCGGTCCGGTCGGGCCCAGCACCCGCGAAGTTAGACCGGAACCGATCCGGTCCGGTCCGGTCCATGAGGGTTGGTGCCCGGCCCGGTTCTTCAGAAGAAGAGAAGTCTTGGTTTTTGGAATTTTTGGTTATTGATCAGACTTCCAGACCCAGCTGCGTGAACATGGGATTATCAACACGATAGTACTCTTTAACAATTTTGCAAAGCATCGGGTATTTCTAATCCTTTATTAAGCAACCAAAGATAAAATATATTGCAATTTTCAGTGCACTAACTTTTCTCGTGACGTGTATAATCAGCTTTTTCGAAAAATCGGACATTTTCTCATTAATTTTAATTCTACTGTGTCATTTTAGAGAATCCCTATCTTGCTTTGTTTTTTGGGGGGCTCATACATAATCATGATAGAAGGGTTATATTCACGTGAATATGAAACCCACCGTAAAAAAAAACTAAAAAAAGGAATATTTTTTAGGAATGCTAAGAAGGGACGTCTTTTTCAATTTTAAGAAAAGGAAAATCTTATCTATCGAATCGTTGTACATTTCAATAGAATTTAGGAATTCGGTCGGATCCTTGATGAAACATAACCTAGAATTAGATCTTCGTTAACAAAAAAAACTCCAAGAATACATACTATTGAGAAGGAGAAGTGATTCATTAATTAAACCTTCATGAATCCATTTTTTTGTTTTTTCATTCTAGGTGAAAGCCCTAGGAGTATACCCTAACGTAGTAGGAATGATATTAACTAACCTAACTTTTTCTTTTAACAAATAAGAAATTATGGTCTAATCGGATATCAAAAAGATTACCATATATAACACAAAATTTCTCCGCCAATTCCTTCTAGTCAAGCCTCTTGGTCTGTCATTATGTAAAATCACCGTTTTTGTTTAGGAGTTGAATATGGCTGTTACTAGCGAATTCGATCCCTAATTTTTTCGAAAATGCAATGGTGACCTACGGACGACAATTTAAGCGACAACATCCTTTGGCTTTTTTTTCCCACACGCATGTGCTTCATCTTCCATTAATCAACTAGTAAGGAAAGAAGACCGTGATTCATCACAGCACATGTGGGGCTAGTTTTCACAAGGGAGAGCTGCACCGAAAGTCCTCAACGTTTTATCCCCAATATGCAATTAAGTCCTAACCTTCATTTTATTTCATTTTATATTTGGCTTATTTTCTGATGCGAGTGCCACGTTAACGCCGCGTCAGCCATAAGCTTACAAATAGTGAAAAATGCCACGTTAGATTTTTGGTCTACCACGTTAACAAACTTAGTTTATCACGATTACTTACTCCGTCACCCAGGATTGTACTAACAAGCCTTGATAGAGAAGATTCACATAAGTTTTGAAATACTAAGTATCACATGCTCAGTTAATATAAGAATAAGCTCTCAACTCTAAAGTAGAGTGAGCATGAAAGTGAATGATATGATATAAGGTACCCTTGATGTTGCGGAAAGTCCGAAGAATCGTAGCAAAGTGAGTCGCCGTACATGTGCGGCTATGAACTGATTAACAAATATGAATAGCATAGGCATTGTCAAAATGAGTGACAGTGAGATATATAAGACTATCAACCGAGTATAGATAGAGCGTAGGATGTAGAAGAAGAGTCTAATCTTTGTCATCAAAATTGGCATTATTCTAATGAGGAGTTTTGACTACTTGTTATCAATGAGTCCTGCTCGAGAAAGAAGAACAGTGGCATATTTCTCTTGAGAAAAAACTAATAACCTGAGGAATTTGAAGCAACATCCAAGCCTAGACAAATAGTTGAGTTATGCAAGATCCTCAATTTCAAACTGTTGACTAAGATTCTGACCCAAAAAAAAAAAAACTGTTGACTAAGATACTTTGGAGCTTCGTAATGCAGTAGAATGTACCCATGAGATGTTCGTTGAACAAAAATTGCATGTCACAGGGATTGAATGTAAATCCAAGGCATTCCATGGTTGAGCTAAACTTGGAATTCTATGCACGAGGAGCTTGTTTCAATCCACAAATAACACCTTCGAAGACAAATTTGAAGAAAAGAAGGCCCAAACCAGACTCAGCATTTCGAAATAGCTTAAGTACTGTTCCAAAATCTCCAAGAATCGATCAAAAAGTAACTGAACCGAACAAAAAAGGAATCGGTCCGGCAGGCTACACGAACTGATTCGATCAGTTAAGGAGAAAACCGGCCGACATGTGCACACTATGCATAAAAGGCTTCCGTGTGTGTTGATGTGTGTGATGACATGGCATATATGGGTTGAATCTAACATGGTTGATGACGTGTCTGCCGACATGGTAAATACACAATTGAGTCTAATGTGGCTGATGACGTGCGATCACTAAGGCTGCGCATGGCAACTTGCCAAATAGTGTTTGATTCTGTTCTTTTGTTTCCAGAATCAGTTTGGGAATAGAAATCCGTTTGTTTAATTTTTTGATTTTGGGCACAAATTCTTACAAATTTGTGCCCAGAATCAGTTTTGGAGCAGAATCAAGAATAAAAAAAAAGTAGCTTCTTGATTCTGGGAACAAAAATGAGAATCGGTTTTTTTTTCTTTTTCTTTTTCTTGTTTTTTATAATAGAAAATAATGTCCGGTGCGAGGGCCACCCTCGCCGTATCTGGCGAGATTAAAATATTTTAATAAAAAAAATTTACCGGCCATGGCCAGCGACCAGGCCATGGAGAAAAAAAATATTATTAATAAAAAAAAATTTTACCAGCCATGGCCAGTGACCAGTCCATGGCGAAAAAAAATAAAAAATATTATTAATAAAAAAAATTTTACCGGCCATGGCCAGCGATCAGGCCATGGCGAAAAAAATAAAAAAAATATTTTCAATAAAATTTTTTTTTATTAAAATATTATTAATAAAAAAATTATTTATAACAAATTTTTTTCCGGCCATGGCAAAAAAAATAAAAAAAATATTTTCAATAAAAAAATATTTATAAAAAATAAAAAAAAATATTTTACCGGCCATGGCGAAAAAAAAAGAAAAAAATATTTTCAATAAAAATATTTTTTAGTAAAATATTTTTTTAAAAAATTATTAATAAAAAAATTATTTATAAGAAAATTTTTTACCGGCCATGGCCAAAAAAATTAAAAAAATTTATTTTTAATAAAAGTATTATTAATTAAAAAATATTTTACCGACCATGGCCAAGAAGGAGGAGAAGAAAAAAAGAAAAGAAAGAAATATTAAAATATTTAAAATGTTATTAAAATATTATTAATAAAAAGAAATTTTATGCCATTACCAAAAGCATTTACGTTCTTTTACTATTTCAGGAATAGAAATTTTGGGCCGTTACCAAACGTCTTCAAATTCTCGAATCGCTTCCAAGCACATGTAATAAAAAAGAATCATTTCGACTGTAACTGTTCCCTAGCACACGGAATGATTGTCATGCGCAGCCTAAACTGCCCAGGCCAACGCTGACATGTTCATGATGTTAGCAATACGCGTGCAAAGGCTTCTAGTGCATGAGAGGGGCATGGATCCCAAATGGAGAGGCGCATGTTGGCGCATGCGGCGGCGGGAATGCGACGAAATTTTAGGATCTAGCTCGTCTGAGAACGGCAAATCTAAATCGGATAAAGACTTGATGGGCGCTTCCTTAGACGCAAGAGCTTTGACACCGAGATAAGAATATGTGGAAGAAAATTGTATAATTTCTATGTATTTCATGATGAAAAGTACATTATGTATATATTACAATATTAATTGCAATCAATTAAGATCAATCAAGGATATGGACAATTAAGGAGATATATGTGTAAGAATTTCTTAATGTGGGCTTCATTAATTGAAATTAACTGAATTAGTTTGGTCTAATAAAGGTGAGATATATGGGTTCTTAATAAGTCTAATATGGAGCTGGCGAGTATGGGCCGAGTACGGCTCGGCCCGTAATGAGAGGGCCCGTGGTTGAAAACTATATAAATAGCGCTCAAGTCCCTCCTCTAATCTGATGGTACACAAATTGACTCACATAAGGATCTAAAGAGGAATTTCTTCTCGTGAGTAGAAATCTCATTAGGCCAATGTTTCGCCAAGGGGTATAGGGGAGAAGCATTTGAGTTCGCGATCGGAAACCGTCACCAATTCCGCATCAAGTTCGATGGATTTCAAATCAGGTACGCAAATCGATAACTTCTCCATTTACAAGTTTCAGTTTCTGGTTATAGTGATCCTGGGTGTGTCATTTTCGTGGCCGATAATATGTGCAATTTAGAGAAATATGGAGAATCTCCTAATTATTCATAAACAATTTTAATTTATAAAGTTTATATTTTTCCTATAAATTTTAATTTTATGACAACAGGATCAACTACAGGTCGTAGAAATCAATAATCGAGAATGAAAAAGAAACTTAAGAGAGATTCCTGGTATGTGAAAATCCTGTCGGCACTTACATTGGTGGAAGATCGATATGTCCCTTTGGGGAGTCCCACACCCACTTATATTAACTCCAATTTGGCTCTGGCTCTGGCTCTGGTTCTGGCTCGTATCATCCACAAGAAAGGGAAAGATTTTCTTTTGTTTTTTCATTTCTCGCTAAAGCAAACTTTTCAGTGGAATTTTGTCATTGGTTGAATCAAAGGCATAATTAAGTGATATGACATTGTCACTGTCGCTATCTTGTAAAGTGCGTAATAATAGATGGGTTTAACAATGACTAACCTAATGGCGCCTCCCACTTTCGTGGATACCTGACCCCTTGTAATCATTTAATTTAATCCTCTTGGGATTAAACCAACTCACAGCTGCATTGCATTCGCGGAATGGTCGCTTCGCCATTCTTTACCTTCTTGGCTTTTTTAATAGAAAGTGTCTTTTGACAAACAAGCAAGGAACCATCTTAATTCTGACGAACAAGCATATGTATTCAATTCAGGCAATGCTTGTTCGTCATAATTGAGATGGTTCCTTGCTTGATTCTGACGAACAAGCACTTGTTCGTCAGAATCAAGCAAGGAACCATCTCAATTATGACTAATAAGCATATGATAATTATATGCTTGTTCGTCATAATTGAATCATATGCTTGTTCGTCAAAAGACATTTTGTGTATGCATACACATTTTGTTGTAACCAAGCAAAAACATGGCATTTAGCTTCATTTCAAATTTGTGGAGCAAATGGAACATCCGAGGCTTTGTCATACTAAGTCTTTCGCTTCAAGTCTTGCTCGTTCTATTTGCACCCCTTAGAAAGAAAATAACAAACCGCTACATCATGTTCCTCTTGTGGTTGGCCTATTTGATGGCCGATTGGGTATCTGCATTCACCATCGGGCTCATCTCTCACAACCAAGGCAATTCGTGCACTCGTACAGTTGAAGTAGACAGAGCACTTCAAGCATTTTGGGCCTCATTTCTCTTGTTACATCTTGGGGATCCAGACACCATCACCGCCTTCTCTCTAGAAGATAGTTTACTTTGGCGACGACACCTACTTAGTCTTCTCTTCCAAGTTGGTGCCGCTATCTATGTTTTTGTGCAGATTTTTCCTAGCAACATGTCTATGGTGATTCCAACGATGTTGATGTTTATCGCTGGAGTCATAAAAAATGCCGAGAGGTTACTAGCGCTTAATCTCTCAAGCCTACCGAGGCTTAGGGAATGGATGCTCATGAGCCTCCGAAGACTCAGAAAGAGGATGCGCCCAAACAAGTCTTCTCGTGATACATCATATAGAGGGTTTCTTGAAGAACTTAATGTTTTAGAGGATGGATATTCTAATGAAGAAGAAGTAAAGCTTGCCGAGAGCATTGTGGTGAAACATGCTTATTGCGTCTTTCAAATCTTCATGGTCTTCCTCACAGATCTCATCTTCAGGAGTTCGGAATGCGAAATGAGCCGTGAATATTTCCACAAAGTTTCTGCGACGGATGCCTTGAGGTTGATATCAGCCGAACTAAATTTCATTTATGAGCTGCTTCACACAAAAGTGTCAGTAATACGTTCCAAAAGGAGCTACATTTTCCGCTTCATAGCCTTCATTGATATCACGATGGCTTTCATACTGTTTAATCGCTTAAAGAAGCATCAGCTCCCCAAACTCGATGTGGAAATTACTTATTCCCTTCTTTTTGGAGGAATTGCTCTTGATGTGATAGCCATGTTCATGCTCGTTTTCTCCGATTGGACTGTTGCGGAAATCAAGTGGTATAACATAGGATCATCTAGACTAGATTCATTTGCCCGCAAGTTGGTATCTGCCACGGATAACTTGAGAAAGCCTCAATTTGCCAAATGTGAAGCAGAGCCTAACGCCGCTTCAAAGGTTTTTCTTTCTACTTACATGATCTTAGATACACCATTAATATTTCGAAGGTGGTCAGAATCCATCTCCGCTTGCAACCTTTTATCAGAGTCCTTGAAGGAGAATCCGAGAAAAATTTATAAGCAAGATAGGCGCCGGGGCATCATCGCTTTTTCTAGTATTTGCAGTTTTCCAAGTGGTATGGTTGAGAAGATCATCTCTTGTTTCCATCGAGTAGGTGAGACAATCGCTAGAGGCTGTCTTTCGTGCTTTGGTATCTATGGGATAATACCAATGATTGCGAATACGAAGTACATGTCCAACAATCCCTTTATTAAGGATCTCTGGATCTTTATCTTTAAGGAGGTGAGACGTAAAGCCAAGAATGTGAACGAATCAACAATAGGGAGGAAGATATTTGAGGCTAGAGGTGATTTGTTTCTCAAGAATGGACTGGAAGAGATCAATTGCAGCTATCTATTAGAGTATGTCACCCAAGCTAATTACGACGCCAGTATTATAATTTGGCATCTTGCTACTGAAATCTGGTACAATAGAGAAAAACAATTCACGAGCCCCACAACCAGAAATGACGAAAGAGAATTCAGCAAGATCCTCTCCGACTACATGTTGTATCTTTTACTTAATCAACCTAATGTGGTGACCTCTGTGGCGGGCATTGCCCAAATTACATCAGCAGGGACGGTGCACGAGCTCCGGAAGTACATAAGGGAAGAGACCAAGGATGTGGAAAGGTTATGCGAGACACTGTACAAGGTTCCTTTCGATTCGGGATCCCCTCGCTGGATGTCCACGCTCAGAGAGGGGATCAACTTGGCCCAACAGATGGAAAGGCTCAGGGAAATGAAGTAGAGGGTGATGAGCGGAGTGTGGGTTGAGATGCTGTCATATGCAGCAATTCATATCAAAGGAGAGGTACATATGCAAGTGCTGAGCAAAGGTGGAGAGCTTCTTGCCTTTGTTTGGCTGTTGATGGCTCATTTCGGTTGTTTCTACAAATCTGAATGGGTCAGGAACGATGAATCCTGGGGAAATGGTCCGAATCGTTTGACTTCTGAATCGCAAACCTTTTGGTAGCGAATTTACGGTTCGGTACGATATTCGATCAATTCATATTTCTAGTACCGTAGTACGTTCGCATATAAAATAATGTACATTTTGTTGTATTTTGTGATGGAAGCTAAATTTCCGTAGGCTATAGAATAATTAATACGAATCTTAGTACTTCATGCAATTTTATATCTGTGATCTATGTTTACATGTAATCTCTGTGCTCAGAAAATAATTTATGGCCTGTGAGAATGCAATGGATGGTGGGCAACTGAACGGACAAAGATTGGTCAAAATATCAAAATGAAGCAGAGCAACGGTGTCGGGTCCGAACAAGATACAAAAAATGATCATAATTGGTATTATAACAGAAATCAAGAGGAAGATGATAGAACAGTGAAACACAACTCCTCTAATTGATATTAACTAAATCAATTTTCATCATTATCGGTTTTTTTTTCGGTGGTTGCTAAAAGCCTAGCTTCACTTTCCTTTCCATTATAAGGCTTCGTTTGTTTCGCGAAAAATGTGATATTTTTTGAAAATATTTTTCGAGAAGTCATTTTCCTAGAAAATGACAATATTTTGCGGTGTTTGGCTGAGATATGAAAATGAATTGGAAAATATTTTCCATAGTTCGATAAGGAAAATCCCATTTAGTTAGAAATTGCTGACGTGGAGGCCAACCGTCCTATGTGCCATGGCCACAATGACGTGGACAATTTTTATAATTTAAAAAAATCGATTTTTTAAATAATTTTATGTTAATTTTCTTTTCTTTCTTTTTTCTTTTTCCTTCTTTCTTCGATGGTCGCTGAGCCTCAGCGATGGCCGACCTTGGGCGAGCCTGAGCTCGCCGGATTTGGCGAGGTGGAGCTTCGCCCAAGGCCGGCGAGCTCAACCTCGTCGGAATTTGGCGAGGTCGAGTCTCACCCAATCCTGGCAAGTGCAAGCTCGCCAGCCCACGCCTGTGGCCGGTCGCCGGCCGTCACTGAGGCCCGGTAGAGAAAGAAGGAAAAAGAAAATAAAAAAAAATAAAAATCGGTGGATTACAAAGGAGGCGTGTAGGGGAAGATGGGTTTTCGAATTTGGCATTCGATTCTTCGCTTCGAGCACGAAAAGAGTTGCAGGAGTGACGCGGGCAGCTGCTAAAAGTCGCCAAGTAGCCAAAATTAATTACATATTATTGTTCTTTTTTTTTTGGTCAAAAACATATTTTTTGTTCTTGGTTGAGTGGAGATTAATGCTATTAGCATTAATTAAGCGTAATTAATTGAGGAACAGAGAATTTTCTTCAATAAATAGAAACAACGATTAAAGAGTGAGGCTCCGCGTGACGGTACTAGGTTTAGTACGGGTCGGTCCAGGCGGGCCCTGCACCCACGAAGTTAGACCAGAAAGGGAGTTCTCGGACCCAAGCGTGGGCCGCGACCGAATCGATCCGGTTCGGTCCATGAAGGTTGGTGCTTGGCCCGGTTCTTCACAAGAAGAGGAGTTTTGATTTTGAAATTTTGCTTATTGATCAAAAACTTCAAGACCCCAACGAGTTAACACGATATAATCAACATGATAGAAAAGTTTAACGATTTCGCAAATGTGATTCCGATCCTTTATAGAGGGCAGGGAAGGTGCCACAAGACCCTTTTAAGCAAACCGAATAAAGAAATGTTGTAATTTTCAGTGGATTGACTCTCCTTGTGATATGCACGATCAATATTTTCAAAATTCAAATATTTTCTCATCGATTATGTTTAACAAGCAATCCCAAGACACTCATTAATCATAACGCAGTTTGTTACCATACGGAATTCGCATGTTGCATTTATTTAAAGTTTGAAACTCCTAATTAATCGTAGAAGTGTGAAAAAATTCCTGCTCTTTCAGGCTACGTTCATATGGTGAAGAACCCTAAAAATGGTAAGGACAAAACCTAGGATTGATGTGGGGTTGTGGGACCCCAATTTCCTTGATTAATACAGAAACACCTTCTTCTGCCTTTTTATATAGGGATAATTAGATTTCAATTGCTTTATCTACTTCGAATCAACACCTTTTTGTCCTGTCTTACTTATGTCGGGAGATAAAATCATAACATACAGGGATACATCAAACCATGACGCAGCATTCAGCGAATAATTCAAGCAAAACCTTACTTAGAGAGAAAAATCTCGAAATTCAATATTGATGATAATAATGTTCTCTCTTCAAAACAAACCATAAACACCCTTTTATAGGGGTTAAACCTAATTACAATAGGAAACCTAATCATAATAGGAAAGTTACATAATCTGAATTGGAAACCTAATCATAATAGAAAATCTAATCATAATAGGAAAGTTAATAAGCATCAAATAGCAAAATTACAAAAAACGACCCTTAAAATTAACTCATAAAAAAAATACTAAAATAATAGAAAAAAAACCATCTAATCGCATCACCGTTTAGCTTTCCGTTTGGACTTCTGTTTGTTCAATCGGTCCAAAAACGCACCACTAATAAATTCCGCATCAAACCACCACCGCCAAAATAGTCGAGTTTTTTTTTTCTAGAAATAAACAATTCATTTCAAATAAAACATTACAAATTGAATACAATACCTGCATTAGAACGATAAAAAAAAGACTATCAATATAATATTTTTAAGGGATAAGAATAATAGAAGTCATAAAACTTGTCAAGAGAGTGCAATTGAGTCCTAAAATTTTTAAAAAGTGCAATCAATGGAAGGACTTTATCAGATCAATTTGATAAGTTTTAGGACTTGATTGTACTTTTTGAAAGTTTTATAACTTAATTGTACTTTCTTGACAAATTTTAGGACTTTAAATGCATTTATTCCTGTTTTTACTTTAGACGGGAGATTATGGAAAAGAAAAGAGGATGCAGTGCCTATTTGATTAAAAGCCCAAATGGCAAGTGCATGAGCAGCTTTATTGTTGGATCTTCGGGTCCAGACCAAGCGTCAACTTGGATTGTGTTGAAGTAGGAAGCAGAAATATGCAAATACTCCAAGGGCAAAGATCCTTTTGTTGGATGGCATCAATTAAGACCTTGTAATCACTTTAAAATTTGAAATTTCCAAATTCCGCTTTAAAAATGGAAATTTGTGGTAAATTTCCAAAGTGGAATTCGTTAAATCACTTTAAAAATGGAATTCGTGATTTAAATCACTTTGGCAAATTTGCCACGAATTTCATTAAAGTCTAGTAAAAATGGAATTCGTGGCTAAATCCATGGCATCAATTCGTGGCTAAATTTCCAAAGTGGTAAATTTCATTTTTTGTACATATGTACGATCAATCTCTATCCTCTTCTCGTTCCCTTTTTCGATTTGCATAGATCGTCGTCGTCGTCGTTGTCTTCCAAAATTTGAAATTTCCAAATTCCGTAATATCTTTATACCAATTAGCTTCTAGTAAATATGAGTTTCTCAATTTCATGAGCTAAATACCACTTTTCCCAATTGATCATAAGTGCTACGGAGCTTTTATTTGCTTATTTATTACAATTATGACTTCTGGCGACCATGCGGCTACCAGTCTTCAAGGACCGTCTTTCCAGTCGCCGATGTTCTTCTTTAAGATACCTTTCTCACTTCCATGGACAAAGTACTAAATCCGAGATCTCCCTCACTGTTGTCTCTTTATATCGTTGCTTTCAGCCCTTTAACATAACCAAAGCAACAACCCCTCCATTCCTTGAAGCTTCCCCCCCGAGTCCCTCTTCTGACCACACAATGAAGATGAAGAGATGGTTGCAACAGCCGCAGGACGCCAAGCAAGCCAAGGCGGCAGACGAGATCGCGGCGGTCCTGAAGCGGTTCGGGGACGAGCAGAGCACGCTGCTGGACCGGTTCGAGCGGCTCTCCGTCGAGGTCCAGCTGAACCAGGCCATGCTGGGGAGGAGCCTCTCCGACCCGAGCCTCGCTCAGCCCGCCCACCCAAGGGCAGACCGCAGTTCAGCCCACAGAGGCACGGCGGCGGCCGAGCGGCGAGGCCATGGCGGACCGTCGAGCTTCCGAAGGGTGCTCAAGAAGTTGTTCGGGCCCATTCTCGGTAAGAAGAGCTCAGGAAGCAACAATGTAGTAGGTGCTGCAGCGGCAGCAGCAGCAGCAGAAGCGGATTCCAGGATTCCCAACTACCAGTATTCCAAGGCTTTTAGCAGATCGCTGAGGATCTAACAATTAAGGAAAATTCTCCGCCGCGGCAATCACAGTCGTCGGATTTTGTGGGACCGATGCTATGTGATTGACACGATCTGTCGCGGATCAGAGTCCAGGCAAGTATTTGCCCTGAATTTGATCCTGTCTTTGTTTCTTTTCCTGTTCTAAAAGCTAGTCTATGTCTTGTAAAAATAGTGCTGCGGAATAAAGAGGTGTTGCTCTTTTACTTTTCTGACTTAGCAAAGGATTGTTCTTGATTCCTCAACTTTTTTGGTTAGCTCCTGTGGCTGGCCCTGCACTTCAGCAGGCGTAATCAAATTGATTGATCATACGTTTTATCTTCTTTGGGATCTGCTAATATGAGAAAGTCATTTCATAAGAAATTGTAAAGTTTCCTTAATTGGCCGATTGATCAGTACTCCCGAAGCACTCACTCGTTGACAAAACGATTTAGTTAAAAGAGTGCCTCCTCGGAGTCACTTGATAAATAACCAAACGAGCAAATATTGCAATTCTAAATGCACCGAGTATTTTCGTGTTTTGCACAACCAATGCCTCGAAAATTGAATATTTCCTCGGTAAGTATTTTTCGTTCGTTTCTCGACAGCAATCGTTAAACAAAAACCTAATAAAATCCATTTTCTTTTTGCAAACTTATTATGTTATTGGGGAGTGAAAACAAGATATGGCCGCCGTTTTGTGCTTATGACATAATAGCAGTTCCAAATGTAAAATACTAAATTCAAAAAGTAAAACCATAGTGCAGCTATCCTAACATGTCGTGGACAAAATTCTTCCCTAAAGAAGTGACCGTAAAGTGTCAATGTTGTTCATTATACTTACCTCAAGCATCTACTATCTTAGGTAAATTTCAAGTACAACTAGTTTTGAAATAGCATCAACTTACAACTAGTTTGTGCATGCCTACCAGAGTGTGCCTTAAAGCACCCAAAGTAGATTAGCATTGATCTTGGATAATTACAAATCTTTCCTAATGCCACATCCCTTGAACCTAACTAGGGGCACCCAAAGCACCGCTTTAAGCTTCGCTTCGACATCGAAAGATTTCATTCACGACTTTGTGAAGCGATAGTGAACAGCTCGCAATGAGGGCGCTGAGAAGTCTAATGCGAGAGTGGCATGGCACTTAAAGCTAGGCTTCAAATGTCGAAGGCGAAGTATGAGAGACCCGGAAGGAAGATGTAATAAGACTTCTCAAACGACTTCCTTGATTTGTGTAAGGAGTCCAAGATGCAAAGATGCTTATCTAGCTCAAGAATTTCTCAAGGCGAGGCAAGCTGCACGTGCAAAAACTGCTCCAGGAGCCAATACCACTTTCTTGACGAGGATCACTCCAGGTCGAAGTCGATTTCCATTACTTAAAAGGGAAAATTTCAAATAAGGTCTTGAAGTGGGACCGTTTTATCAAAAAAGTGCTAAAGTAAATCTTGCATCAGATAATGCCTTCAAATTGGCAATTTAGTCTCAAGACACACCCCAGCTAATTTGGCCGGCCCGCGAACGCATCTCACGTGCCTATGGCCGAAGGCAATTTTGTCCGGGGCAATTTTTTTTGTTCTTTCCTTTTCACTTTCTTTCTTCTTTTTCTCTCTCTCTTCTTCCTTCACACCCGTGCCGAGCCATTTTCGGTGCTCGATCTTGCTTGACATGATGAAGTGCCCGTTGAGCAGTGGTCCTCGAGCACTGGTTGATGACACCGATGGCCGTTCTCTCTTTTCTCACTTGCAGCCATGGCCCCCATATCTCCGAGCTCTTGGCCATGGCCATGGCCGCTTGAGCTCTTGACCCTGCGGCCAGATATCCGAGTTGGTGGCCATGGCCACTCTAACTTTGAGCATGGGGCATGGTTGCCTTTTCTCTTCTCACTCGCGCCCATAGTTTCCAGATCTCTGAGCTCCAAGAGATGGTCACTCGAGCTTCGAACTTACAGGTATGGCTGCTCCCTCTCTTCTCACTTGTAGCCATGGTCGCTTGACCTCCGAGGTCTGCGCGCTCCAAGCTCTCAGCCATGGTCACTCATGCTCCGAGCTCTCATCCATGGCCATGGCCGCTCGACAGCTTCAACATCTCGCAGCCAAAAATCGAGCGAATGTCCGAGCCCCGATATCACGGCCATGGAGGTGTCCGGCCTCATGCAACCACAAATTTCGGGCCATGCGAGGCTAGCGACCTCGGAATGAATCGACAGAGGCCACGACTTCAATGGACAAAGGTCGCAAGCTCTGCGCGGAGAGAAAAAGAGACGAATGTGCAGCAGACGACTCGAATGGTTCTCATTTCATTGCCGATTACCTCCCATCCGGTCCTCACTTTGTAGCCACTGTTGCGGCCGCTCTCTGCTTGCTCCTTGCCTTCCTCCTCCTCGCCATCGTCTCCACGAAATGGGAGAAGCCCTCCAACCAGTACAATGAGCTTGAAGACTGGCCGTGACATGTTGAAGAAGTATGGAGGTGGCGCAGCCTTGGAAGGGGGTAGGCTTGGAAAGCGGGAAAAAGAAAAGAACGAAGAGGGAGATGAACAGAAGAAAGGGAGAAAAAGAGAAATGTCTTGGACGAAATGCCTTTGGTCATGGTTTGGAAAGTGGTACATGAAATGCATGCGTCCCTAGTGGTGACTTGGGAGTATGTTTTGAGACTAAATTGTCCCTCGGGATTTTACTTTGAAAACTTTGTTTTTTATATAAAAAAAATGCTTCATTTCAGGTAGTTATTTGAAGTTTTCCCTAAACTTAATAGTGCAGATCAACCAGTAAGAGAAACAATGTACAAAGAATAGGATTTACCTATGCAACCTTTTATAGTTCATAACAATAAAGGACACGATTCAAACGAAAAGACTCCAATACAATGAGCCTCCCAATGCACGGCAGATTGGATCTTCCACTGTGGGATCGAAATCGGAGCATCTAACTCCAAATCGCCTCCACATCGCAGTGATTTATCTAAACATCTTTCATATCAGATGAGGCAACTTTTCCAAAGACCCACGGCACGAAATCTCCAATTCTTGCAAAGACCCTAGAAACGTCCTCATGTACGAGTTTGACAGATGTTGATGGACAAGACTTTCTGGAAGAGACCTCAACTCCTGCTTATAGTCGAGCACCTTCCAATCTCAAGATCCTCAGACATGGATCTCTATAGATCCCATTTGGTACTTGATGTGGACATCGAACCCTATCGAGGAGGAGGTGCTAGGGACCCGTTATTCTATCCGCTAGGCCCGATCACTCGAGCGAGAGCGAAGGAATTCAAACAAGCTGTCGGTATCATGGTTCAAGATATTTGGAATGGAGACAATCTGGATTCGAGACTTGAAGATTCCAAGCTCCTACGCGCAATACGATTACTCTTGGTCCAAATGAATTCCGAAGGAGCTTAGAATTGACGAACACCGAATTGGCTCAAATTTGGATGGACGCTTGGAAACGGGCCGCTGATCAATACCCACTACTTTAGTAGTGATTGATGATGTTTTTTAGCGATTTGGAGTCGTTTAGATGAACTTTTAGGCCTTTTTCCATTTTTGGACGAATTTTAGCAATTAAGGTTATTTTTGTAATTTTAATCCTAGTAGGATTAGGATTAGGGTTAGCACCCTATATAAGGTTGCTTATAGATTTCTAAGAGGCAGAGATAGAATTTTATATAGAGAAGTTTTCTTCTTGAGTTCTCTTGAGGACTAGATCTTATCAAGGTTCCCTTGTGGCGATCGAATTCAACTTATCGAGCAAGATCGCGAATTCTCTTGTTCGTGGCGTTATAGCGTGGATTGGTTGACACAGGTTCGTCAACAGGTCGCATTCATACCGAGATTACTAATCACAGGTTCGATTGGGGGCCGAGGTCAGCAATTCGTAACTCATAGATCTTCGTAGAACGATCATCTTCCGCACAGATTCATATCATCTGGTATCAGAGCTAGTTCTACAAGGTCTAGTTATCCTACTTTTATTGCTTTTCATTCATCAATCTAGGGTTTATAGAAACTAGGGTTTATAGAATTAGGGTTTCGTTATTAATCGAATTAGGGTTCTGAATTTGTTTTTGCTGTGATTTCAATTTTGATTTAGGGTTTTCGGTCCTAGTTGTTTTTTTTTATATTGTACTTGAGTTCGTAAAAAAAAAAACCAAAAAAAAAAATCGGCAAAAAAAAAAGCCAAAAAAAAATCGGCAAAAAAAAGCCAAAAAAAAAATCGGCAAAAAAAAAAGCCAAAAAAAAAAGTTTCGGCCAAAAAAAAAATTCAAGAGGACGACTCGTTTGTTTTTATCATTGATAGTTGGACCAAATAAAAAAAAAAATTTCAGTAGCAGAAATTGAATCTAAATCCGAATCTAGCGAAAATTTCCTGAATCGCTGAGTTGAGCGGTATATTACTGAATTTGATCTTGCTTGGTGGTTTATCGATTGTTGTGAGGAGCTTGTGAGACTGAATTCAAGTCTGAAAAAAAGAGCTTGCTAGAAGGAAACGAGAGGTAAAAGGCAAGAGTGTGTGAGTTTAATTGAGGGAAGAAAAAGCCGAAATTGAGTTAAACACGAGAGGAGTGACAAACACTTTGAGCAGAAAACGTGAGGGAGTGACTAGTGAGATTTCTTTTTATCTCTAACATTTTCTTGCAGGTTTAAAAAAATAATGTCAGGCTCAGGCCAGGGAAGTGTGAATCAAAGGGAGGATCGCACTCATCCAAGGGATGATGCGATTCTAGCAGGCATCCAGCAATTGAGTTTACAAATTGAAGCACTTAGCAACCGAGTTGCAAGATGTGAGACGAGACTTGAAGATGACCGAGAGCCACCACGAGGGAGGCCACAAAATCAGCGAGAGGAGCCTAGGGCACAACCTAGATGGCAGCGGCAATTTGATGATGCATATGTGTCCGATACAGAAGATGATCGAGATGCCAGGTTTGAGAGGAGAAACGGACGCTGAGGATTTAGACGTCGAGAAGATGATGAGCTTGGCAACATCAAGATGAAGATTCCATCTTTTCAAGGAAAGAATGATCCTGATGCGTATCTAGAATGGGAGAAACGGATGGAGATGGTATTTGATTGCCAGCGATATTCGGAGCTCAAAAAGGTAAAAATTGCAGCTGTTGAATTCACTAATTATGCTATAATTTGGTGGGATCAACTTGTGACTAGCAGGAGACGCAATGGTGAAAGACTAATAGAAACGTGGGATGAGATGAAAGCAGTGATGAGGAGACGCTTTATACCTAG